AAATTACTGACTAACCGATATCGTTTTTCCCACGTCAATAAATTTGATTAAAAAATTAAAAGATGTGTGTAGGTTTGCAACATTCATGTCCCTTTAAGAAGCTGTACCATACTCGTCAAGTGACAACTTGACTCAACGCAATGCAGCCCCACCTAGTGGACAACTTTTGTTTCTGTGTGTATGTGTGGTTATCGTCAATTTATCGTTAAAGGTGACATCCTCAATGTACCGTGATATTGATCTTAGGCCATGTCGTCCAGCCCCAACCTGCAGTAGGGTTGCAATGATTAAAATTTTTGGTGGTACGGTTATAGTCAGAGAAATAATCATGGTTTTATGATTACCACAATTATTTACATGAATTGATTTCAATTCTGTATTCCATCCATCCATCCATTTTCAGTTGCTTATCCATAGTCGGGTTGTGGGGGGCAGCAGCCTAAGCCGAGACGCCCAGACTTCCCTCTCCCCAGCTACGTGGGCCAGCTCCTCCGGGGGAATCCCAAGGCATTCCCTGGCCAGCCGAGAGACATAGTCCCTCCAGTTTTACTGCCAAATTAAATTTACATAAAGCGTGAGCACTACCAGATACCAAAGCGAGAAGAGATTGTACGTGAAATGGCTGGAGCCAGATATTTCTCAAAGTTAGATGCAGCACAAGGGTTCTGGCAAATACAGCTGGATGACAAAAGTTCAAAATATTGTACTTTTAATACACCTTTTGACCGATTTGTATTCCTCAGGATGCCATTTGGCATCATTTCAGCATCTGAGATTTTTCATCGTGCCATGGAAAACATGCTGGAGGGTGTTCGTTGTTATGTTGATGATGTTATCATCTGGGGATCTACCCTGCAGGAACATAACCGAAGACTGTCTAATGTGCTGCACCGGGTGAGGGTCAACAGTTATGCCAAGCTAGTTGGTTTTCTTGACATCCTTAATTGATGCGATTTTCTCAAAATTGAGACCTTAAAATCAGTTGTGTGAAATGATCAAGAAACGTCTCATGTATATAGGAGCTAATTCAAGTAATGATCTCAGAGATGATGTGTCACAACTTTTTTTCTGCAAGCTCTGAAGCTGGGTGAGAGACATCTTCCTGAATTTCTACTTTAGCAGCTTAAGTGCTTTCTAGATGAAAACAGAGACGTCCTGGTGGTTGCTGTTGCTGGTTCTGCTGCATGCGTCCATCCAGTTTCACATTCATTTTGGCCCACTAATGTCTTTTATTTTTGTATTTGTGGTGTTGGAGATGTCTTTACGAAAGGGGAACTACAGCGTTTCAAACCGTGGTTAATGGTCAAACCGGTTAATCCCCGGAATCCTTATTTGCAATGGTCACTGGTAGGAATGAATGCCTTGCAAGTTGTACTTGGTGACCAAAAAAGCCCAGAAGCACCTGGATCAGCACAGACAAGTCTGCTGCAGCAGAGAGTGGCAGCAGACAGCAGGATTTTAAGACCTGTTTCCTGATATTTGGATGTCTTTCTCCAGATTGGATAACAGCAACGTGACTACCATTGACTTGCAACATTGATGTTTAATCTCCACAAATGACACAAGCCTGGAGGAGCTTCTGCCATGTGGTTGAGTTGCTAATGCTAATGGTTAGCTTCTACTAGATGGGTGAGTCCAAGCGACTACTTGGCATGGATTTGTCAGGCTTTTCAAATCAGAGCGTTTCATGGTCTATTTTCTATCAGAAGCTAATGCAGGAGATAGGTGTTGGAGACTATTTTCATGTTTAGCCTGCATGAAAAACTCAGTGACCATTTATAATCAGAAATAATCATTAAAAAATTTTTTTTCTTCAGTGTTCCACACTTTTAAAACCTTAAACAGGCTAATACTTATAAAACTTCATTGATTAAAACTGTAACTCTAAAAAGTGACCAAATACTACAGTCACAATCACAAATGACACATCAGCTGTATTTTGGTGCTATACAAGCATGATGTTATTTTATTACATAATAATTTACACTGATAATTCCATTAGAGTTGACAGGATGCTCAACAACAATGAATGTGCTAACGTAGCTTTAGACACCAACTGCTTTTTTTCCTACTGAATGATTTGTTTCAATTTAAGACTCAACAATCTACCATGTGGGCATGCATGTATAAAAACATAGGAACACAGCCTTCGCATAAGATGGCACTATGCAGTCAGTGTTTTCTAGAGAGAGATTATTACATTTCCTCTGGGGTTCCCACCCAGACAATCATGCCTAGTCGGAGCAGAACAGAGCAGGAAAACGAACAGGGCTCATGTTGCTACTCTACCATCTTCAGAAAACTGTCCAATCCCTGACTGAAGGGACTGTGGGTGTCAGTTACGTGGCTCCCTCTTCATCTGGGTCAAATCAAGTTCAACAACAGATGCTTCCTACAGTCCCTGAGATGGTGTGTTTTTACATGACAGTGGTGAACTGTCATGAAAGGCTCTTCATGTGCTGAGTGACTGCCTTGGTTACAGTTTTATCTCCTATTTATTATTTAGTAAACAAATACCCCCCCCCCCCCCCCAAATATATTAAAAAAAAAACAAGGGTTTGCCATCTCTCAACGAGCAGCAATCCTGATAATCTAAATAAGCAGAACTGATTAATTATTTTTATCTGTGATGGCACAAGAAAACTGTAAAAGAGATTTCTGGCTTGATATTCTAAGAAACGTTAATCTGGTTTAGACATGGGAAAGTGCTTCCTAAGCACGAACTTAAAAACACCTACAGAATGAAACAAACAATGCACCCAGCCAACGCTAACCTTGTACAAATGTATCCGTGTTTAAACAGGGGTAATTTAATATGCCAACTATAAACAGCTGGAAGCAGATTTACTTCAATGACTATTTGTTACTCATATGTAGTGTTTAAACAGGCCTGGTAGCATGTTACCTAAAACATGGGTAAAACGATGTCATTTCTAGATGTTTTTGGATGCACCGATATGCTGACAGATTCATGTAAGAAGGATGAAATAATAATTTAACACGATTTTCCATCTATGACAGACTGGACCTTGTATTTTATGTTTGTAATAAATAAACAAAAATCACACTAAACAAAACATACCGTTTAGTTTTTCTGGGTTTAAGTGCATCTAAACAAATAAAAAACACACAGGCATTGTAGAAAGGAGAACAGATCATGGTTTTGAGGAACAATAATGATTTCTGACTTGCTGATATTGATAGTATCAACAGTATTTTTCCAATTTCTGATTTACAAAAGAAATAAGGATTCTGGAAGAAAATCAGTTGTTGCTACCATGCATTGGCGCTTAGAGGTAGTTAGTTTATGGGCTGCTTAGCAATGGTGCATTCACTGCAACATTGCACAATTACTTAAAATAAATAATTAATCACCTTTTTTTCCAGTTGCTTTAATACCTTGCAAATACAGGTAAATACAGCATTGCTGCTGAAGACCACCTTGTTTTGTGCCCTTTAACATTCTCCAAGGAGTAACAAAAAGCAGGAAAGAGAGGTAACATGATAAAGATGGACAGTGTGCATCTACTTTAGCACTGAGTGCGTAACACAGCACTTCACATCTTTTGCTTAAACTGACGTGCGCACACACGGACATTCCTCTGAACCTTTCAGTCACATAAGCACCTCAGTGGATGAAATTTTTCTTCCTCTGCAGCTGATCAGATAGCACATTCTGTCAGCTACTGCTTATATTGAAAAAAAAGGTCTGGAGTGGCTGAGTGCACGCACACACATTCATCTGCGTCCACATAGACAAGTGACATGTAGCATGAAGATGGATCTGTAATGTGAGTAAGAGGGATCACGCATATCCCTTTCCTGTTTTTCACAGCTTCTGTCAAATCCCCGACTCTAACGCCTGTGGCTTTGTCTATCCCACAGCTTAGAGTCCTGAAGCAACATCTGAAGAGGGCTCTTTCTCAGTAAAAAAATGTTTTCCCTGTTTGTTTCAGAGGAAATTACCATGATAAAGGACAACTTTTGGTAAGGGTCTTGCTGATTCAGAGATTGCATTGTGTTAACTTATGGAAAAATGAACACGTCAGACAAATCTAAATACTCCAGCAATTACATAAAGAAATCTGCTAAATTTATCAAACTGTGGATCAATGGCTGAGCATAGATAAACTGATGCATGTTTATTCTAAGATGGTGTAAGTTACAGGCTATTTTGAGAGCAGTGCATTTTGTCAACTTCAGCACAAAAAAATAATAAAATTAAAAAAAAAATTAAAAAATATATAAGTGATTATTTCCATTTCAGATCCAGTTAGATCTGATCCACATTTGGTCACATTTATGTTGTATGAGAAATCCTTTTGTCCTCAGCCAGCGCATGACACGGCATGATGAAAGTCTGCAGGCTGCTGTGGTGTCGTTGTTGTTTACCATTTCTGCACCACATCATCTGTGTGTGTTTTTGAAATATTGAAAAAAACAACGTAAAATTCATTTCAGTGCTGTTTATTCTACAGGTGTAAATAAAATCTAAACTAAAAACACAGCCAGTGTTCAGATTCGGCCACAATTCAGCATGATGGTCTTAATAACAAATTAGCAATTTTGAAACTCAAAAATCTGATTTTTTCTTCTTCAGTTAAAATACACCAACAGCAAAAAAATAGCAATTGTGTATTTTCCCACCTAAAATATAAAGCTGCCAAAATGGAACTGTTTGTACCTAGCATATCATATTTTTAAAGTGAATCTTATTTTTAAAAAGTATTTAGTCAAAAATCATAAATATTTACCAATATTGTTCTCTGAGACAATCTAAAATTGACCAAGACAGCTAGGTTTTGGCAGGTTAGAGCTGTGCCAAACTCAGAAATTGGCATTAGCAATCAAGTAGAATCAGTGCAACCTCTTATTTATAATTTTAAAAAATGAACTTTACATTCCATATAGTATGATAAATATGCACAAATTCAAACTCACACACACACACAAAAACATATAAGTAATGCCCCCGAAATACTATAAAAAAAAAACCTTACCTCCATGGCCAGTGCAGCTGTTTGTTGGTCATAATGGTTCAGAAGATTGGGCATAAAGGTGGTGTTGTAAGGCAGATCCTGGCACATTCTCAGTCTGATGGGCTCACAGCTGAACTCACTCTCCACAGACTCCGCATGAATGGAGAGGGCAGGGGTAACGAGACAGAAGAAAAGGTGGATAATGATGAATAAATAGCAGCCTGGAATTTTTAGTCTGCCTTCCTTTGTTTGAGTTTTTGGAATGGCGTTTCCGACACATCCTCCTCCGACAGGTGTTTGTATTTTAATGTACAACATATTTTCTGTGTTTTATGACATAATCGTCACATTCACAGCCACTTAATAGTCATTAGTAGATAGAAATAAGTCCATTCTTAGGTAAGCCACTCAAAATACAAAAAAAAAAAAAAAAAAATGCAAAGCAGGCATGTGCAGTAAAAATAATACAATGGAAGTCTCAAATTTATATGCAGCCTGGGAACAGATCTCTCTTAATGTCTCTTAATGGTTTCTCTCAGGCTGTTCTTCCTCTGGTAAAATTCAGCTTCCACTTGTTCCATCTCCAAACTGAGTCAGAAACCCCTCTATCAGCCATTTGTCAGATGTCCTCTAAGGGTTCCTATCCGTCTCCTCCTTTCACCGCTTGTTTATCTCGTCTCATTGTATTTCCAGAGATGTCTGAGAGAACTGCTGAGTCCACGGTGTGTCATAATCCCCAGAATGGGTTTGCTGAATTCTCTGCAAAACAAAACAATTTCAATTTTCACACTGGATTAGGGGCATCAAACAGGTTGAGCCAGTTTCAAACACAAAGAGAAGCTTACGTCTTAAAAAATAAGACTGGATTTAGTAGAAGTTTACTGTATCTGTTACGGTCTATGATCAGCCACACCCTTCAGAAAGAGGATTAACCATCTTGTGATCTCACACACACACACACACACACACACACACACACACACACACACACACACACACACACACACACCAACTTTATTTATTAAGCACATTTAAAAACGGCATGGCAGCCGACCAAAGTGCACACACACACACACCTAATTAATGCAAAGCAGATTTTCCTGACACAGTTCGTCCTTTAAAATACTGTCATAGCTTGTCACAGTGTCAGATTATCTTTTTGAATGAGCGCCGAGTCAGCGGGGTCATCTTACAGACTTACGGAGACGCGATCAAAGCAAACCGCGACAGTTTAGAAGTGTGTGCGGTACACCTGCGGATAATCAGACACTCCCCCCGCCCTGGTGTCGTGTTTGTGTGCGAGGCTCACCGGGAAACCGTAACGCTCCTGTGATGTTTCACACGCAGCGACTTTAAACTCAACTACTGTAAACTATATTCAAGTATCAAATATGTACACGAGGAACATTAAAGGAGCACCCGTTATTAAAACTGCACGTGCGTCAAAAGCGTCAAGCTCACGCTCAGCCTTGAGCGACGCTGACAGCTAGCTAACAACGTTATTGATTGCTAATTTAAGTGAACACCTGCGTAACGTACACTTTAAAGCGCAGCCATGATTAATGTTGGCCCGGTTTGGTCACCGGGAAAAGAAGCAAAGTAGTTTTCTATAAGCACGGACTTGTAAGAGAAGAAAAACGTAGCCTATTTGTCATGGAGGTATTTTCGCTGCTGTTGTTGAAGCGACTACCACACACGCGGTGACAAGCAAGAATCACCGACCATCAATCCGTTTGTCACCGCAGTGTCTTCCAAGACGGCGCGCGCTTCCTTTGAAAAAAACCGCTCAGGTTTTCCCGCAGCGCTGCATCAGAGGACCTTCACACAGCTGTGGTCTAACGTTACTGTAGAGAGTACTCTACCTGGTCTCGGGGAACACCGAGCTGTTCGGGCGGTCGGCTCCGTTCACTGCAGCACAGCGTCGGTCCTCAGCTCTCTGCTGCTGGCTGCAGCCGTCATCGGGACCGCGCGAACTCGCCGTGCGCGCGCATTCAGAGATGATGCATCTGGGCGTGTTACGTGTCAGTCTGAAATTTACTTGACCGCGGTTGATATTTACTGTAAACAAGCTTACAAATGGACCGAATTATGATGACTGATAAAGAGATACAGGAGACTTTTGGCACACACTGAGGGAAAATGATTTGACAGGTCAGCAAACATAAAAATATTTAAAAAAAAACTGCTAGAGGTACAGGAATCTGTCTTTAAATGGAAAGGTACTACAAGTATAAGTTCCTGAGTGTATAAATAAATATTAGAACTTTGAATAATTTAAATCAACAAGTAAAATAAAGGGCTGTACAATGGAGAATGCTGTGGACCAAAGGTCTTTTACAAGAATGACAGTCAGAATATTCGTGCTTCGGTTGTAGAGTAACATGGAAAATTGTGTAAATCTTTTCCTGGTTTGTCTCTGCTTATGGAGAGCAGTGACACTTTGTCTCAAACATCTTTGGGTTTTGTCAAATTATTTTAATTAATTGACTGAGCCTGCTGAATGCTTTTCTAGCCACCATAACTAAAATATCTCTGGTTTCATGCATTAAAGAATCTGAGTTTACTAAAATCTAAAGTAAATAAAAAAGTTTGCTCATCAGTGGTGGTACTGCTCAGGCCCGAGTCATCGTCTAAGGGGAACAGGGGCTGTTGTAGAGGGGTTTCCAGGGTGACCCAGTGCCATCCTGATAGCAAACCTCGACCCCCTTCCCCATTGCCCCCTTGTTGAGGGCAGATCTGAAGCATTAATACATTTGGGTCTTTGTGATAATTTAGCTTAATGCAAGATGGGATTCAGTGTTAATGAGTTTGTCAGCAGTTGAAGAGGTGAGAAAATACTTTCATGTTGTCACTGACATACATGTATCAAAATATATTCCTTGCAAAAATAATTGCATTTTGAAATCTGTGCAGACTTATTTAATCCAAAACTAAATAGATTTTATTATATAGAGCTCCGGACGTCACGTGACTCTCAGAGAGTAGATGCCATGTTGGCAGGTAATAAATGTAAACAAATTGAACGAGATCGGCTTGGATTTTTACTTCGTCGGAGTTTACTTCACACTTTAAAACCAAAGAAATTGTTTTATATAGTCAGAAATTAAATAGACTAAACATCGCCGACCCTTACCGTGCCCATGGGATATCTTTTAAAAATGCCACAACCTGTCGGAGCGGACTTCTTACCGGACCTGGCCGGGGAACCCCTTGGGATTCCCCCGGAGGAGCTGGCCCAAGTGGCTGGGGAGAGGGAAGTCAGAGCCTCTCGACACTACTGCCCCCGCAACCCGAATCCGGATAAGCGGATGAAAATGGATGGATGGACAAATAACAGATTTACATGTAAGTAGTTTAACTAGAGTGCTGTGCTGTTTGAATGTATAAACTGAATGCCAAGAGAAATCACTAGTTTGATTGTTTTCCGTGAATAAAATAAATATGTCAGGCAGGAGCGTCTCAGGATCTGTCTGAGATCTGTCTCGGTGAGACAGATAATAGCAATCCAAAGTGCTTTTTATGTGTGATCTGACAACTGATCAACCATTGCTTAAAAATTAAATACAGCTTAGCCGGTTAATTGCTGTGATCATAAAACACGTAAACGGCAGCACGCAGAACTCACGAGGCACCGTTTTACGTGACATTTACTTGTTGCTGAGTAATAAGACAGAAAAAGCCACGCTAAAATAAGTTTAGGAAGCCCACTAAGAATCGTAATAAAAGCATTTAAAATAAATACCATATACAGTTGAGGAAACGTTGGTTTAAGTCCCTTATATGAAGTGGTCGCTGCATAAGCGAAAACCTTTACTCTCGGGATCCCACAGTTTCATTTTAGCCCGGTCACTAGCGCGTTTTATTACAATGATCCAACGTTTGTGGCGCTCCAGATCTTGGGGAATCCTGTAGATGGCTCATCCCTTATGTCGTCCATGTCTGTTCTGCATCCTGGGGCACAACAGGAATCTACCATATTTCCCGTTTGAGTTTTCTGGCAATAACAAATAGTCCAGCTGCGGGCTTCTGCCTGCCAATATGGCGCCGTTTTGATTTGAACTGTTGCATGCCGGGAGAAGTGACGTCAACTCCTGGAGCTCTATTGTTGTAATTGCACACAAAAATTGGAAACACTTAAAGGCATATTAATGTTTTCTTACAAATGTGCCTCTCTAACAGAGCAGCAGGCCCCTTTAGTGTTAGTCTAAAACCTCCGCTGATACAAAAGTGTTAAATAAATCATGAAAAAATAAGAATGCATGTCAACAGAAGGACATACTATTTTAGTACAAGCATAAATTTTACAATTTTTTCAACAAGTTATATTAATATAAAATTATATTAAAAAAATTATTTCAGGACAGCACAGAATGACATCAGTGCCATTTACAGATATGCTGTGACTGAACCAGTCAACACTGTTATCAATATTTACCCCCACAGCCTCAGGATTACTACTGTATGCTATGATTTCCTTCCACATGATTGAACATGGCACTAGATTAACTGTTTCATGGCTGATCTGATCCTTTCTCTGGAGTTGGGAGTTGTTCAGTGACAGCTGAGGCTACTGGCCCACATACTGGTTTTAACCTTTTAATTTGACCCCACTTAACATACAAAAACAGACAATCAGTGCACAGTTTTGTTGATGCGTCAGTCACAGCAAGGGAAAACAAAAAAACAGCATACACATCTAGTGAAATGCACTCCGATTTAATCCTCACCAGCATTCTCTCGTTGAAGCACATTTTCTCAAATTCAACACATTATTGCACAAGGTTGACAAAAAATGCTGATAACAAATAAAAAAGTTGACACAAGACGTTCTTATACAACACAGCTGTGTTAAAAGATGATGGTTTGTTTACTCTACAGAAAGCTGCACAAAAAAATGACAGAGGTTTTCCCTTGATAATTACAACAATCTGTCCTCTGTGTCTTCAGGAGCTGCTGTCCACCCTTTCTGATTTAGTTTCCAGCTCATTTCTAAAGTATACCTAATCAAATACACTCTGCATTATTTTATACTTAATGCCACTAAACAGAGAAAAGGATAATTAAACTAAAGGATATTAAAAATGAATTCAGAAAAACTTATGAAACGGTCGGTTGAATGCAGCACACACAGGGTGATTTATAATGTTTGTAAGCAGTAAAATAATAAAACATTTGACCATAATAAAGATCTGGACAGGTTAAAACAACTAAAGTAAAAATATTATTTCTTCATTAAAATGGGTTCCTTCATGCTGAAACATCATTAACACTGATGGGTATTTCTAACCCCAAACAGTGATCAAGTCTAACTGATAAGGCTGAGAGGATACCAACCATCTCTGTGGCATCTACACATGCATATTCATATGATATTCAGTACAGAAACATAAAGATGCACACAGTTTGAAATGAAAAGACACTGAAAACAGAGGTTGGTTAAACTTCAGGATTTGAGCGTTTTCCCATCAGGCGGCGGGAGTGCGGAGAGCACTCAGCCTCTTCCTCCAGCTAGGAGAGAGAAAAAAGTTAAGTGTGAAGGCTGATGACAGCAGCGCTACGTGTTGGGTTGTATAATTACCACACAGAGAGCAACAGTGTTGGTATGAGATGGATCCGAATCAGACAGGGGCAACAAAAACAATAAAGCTTTTTAAAAACAAACTGATCAAAAATGAAAAAAGATATCTATTTTTTCTTACTTTAAAAGAAAGTATGTATTGCCATTACATCAAGCAACATGACCAAGGTGGTGCATAGAGAAGCCAAGCTACTAACTTTAGTAGCAATGTGAGAAGCTTTATTTAAAATTCACTGTAACGAGTTAATTTCAGACTAATTAAACAACCTTTGTCCTGTTCAGACAACCTATTGTTATATTCTTTTCCAAACAAAGCATGGTAAAGATTTGTTTTTACCCTTAAAGCGGACAAGTTTCAGCTAACACTAGCTGGCGGCGCTGTGAGGAAGGCTACAGTGTTGGCCAAAATTTCCCAGGCTAAACAGTAAAAACAAATCTTTACTATACTGTGTTTAAAAAAAACACGCAAAGGAATTTGATGGATTACACAGAATGAACACGCAAAAGATGATTTTAAAGCTGTTATAGCGAATTTGCAAACAAGATGGGTTTGAACGCAAACACAGTCACCAAACACTCACCCCTCCTCTTCGGTTTATTTCTTGGATCTGCGTATACTGGAACTGGAAACCCACATTGCCAGAGGAAACGAGTTAGCGCTAAACACCCATCACCGTTTTCTAGGTTCAAATGTCTTTTGTAGTCTGTGACTTTAAATGGTGTTTATCTTTTTGGGACTTTGGTAGTTTGTCCTAAAGTTGAAGTGGTAGCAGCCAGCTGTTTCTCCTCTGATGTTATTGAGCCATGAACCTCTCACACAAGTGGTGTTCTGTTGCTAAATACGTGAGTGCGTAATGAATGGAAGACCCAGAGAAGTGTGCCATTTCCGCGAGACCAAAATGTGTTATTGGTGGAGGTTTTTAGATAATCAGTGTTTTTATTACGTTTTCAAAAAGCATATAATTCACACAAAAAAGCTCGAACTCAAGTCCTACAACACAATGCAAAATAAAACTATACCCAGACAAAAAAAATAAAATAAAATAAAATAAAAAAAAAGGGGGGGGGGGGGGGGGGGGTAGGAAGTTGCCAGTTATGGAGTAGACGGAAACTTATCTTCAAAATAAGAAATGAAAGGCTGCCAGACCTTAAAGAATTTTTTGGTGTTGCCCTGAATCGTAAATCTGAGATGTTCTAATTTGAGGTGTGCCATCACTTCTTCCAACCAGCGTTTGTGGGATGGCGGTGTTGCCTTTATCCAGTTAAATAGAATCAGTCTCCTGGCCAACAATGAGGTAAATGCTAGTGCCTTCCTCTGAGAGGCTGTTAGCCGAGTTTCCGTCTGTGCCACACCAAAGATGGCTGTCAGAGGCATTGGTTCGATGTCTTCGTTAAAAATGAGTGAGAACGTTCTAAAGATGTTAGCCCAAAAGTCTTTCAGCCTGGGACAAGACCAAAACATGTGGCATAAGTTGGCTGGCACCTGTTTACATCTGGGGCAGGTCGGATCGGACCCCGGTACATTCTTGCCAGTTTCTCCTTTGACAAGTGGAGTCTATGTAACACCTTAAACTTTATCAATCCATGTCTTATACATACAGAAGCAGAGTGTACTAGATCTACTGCCCCTCCCCAGTCAACCTCTGAAATGTCCAGCCCCAATTCTTCCTCCCATTTCCTTCTTACGTTGTCCAGGGAGGGGGAAGCCACATTCTGAATACTTGCATATAACGTGGAGATTGTCCCCTTAGCGGTCGGATCTGTGCCCATCAGCTCATGTATCCATCCGCTTTGTGGAAGCTCGAGGGTGGGGCTGAATGACTTTTTCACAAAGTCCCGAACCTGGAGATATCTGAAATAGTTAGTCTTGGAGGAGATTCCATAGTCCTTTTCCAGTTGAGCAGCAGACATAAAAGTACCATTTTTAAAAAGATGTTTGACGCATTCCACCCCAGCTCTGTGCCATTCCCTAAAGGCTGTTCCTCCAAGGGCTGGGGAAAACAAGTGATTTCTATAGATGGGAGAAGCTAGGAGGGCATTCCTGTTTCCAAAATGTAATCTGAGTTGAGTCCAAATTTTCAAAGAGTTAGATATCACCAGGTTATTTGTGTAAAGATGTTTGCTCAAGGGTAGAGGAGCGCAGACCAGGGAGCGCAGGGACACTGGACTAGAGACATACCTTTCCATATGAACCCATATTGGGGTTTCATCCTCATCTAACCCTTTGACCCAAAATAACAACTTATGTATATTAGCAGCAAAATAATAGTGCATATAATTCGGCAGAGCCAGGCCTCCTTCTTCTTTCTGTCTCTCCAGAAACTCTCTTCTTATCCTGGGGACTCTTTTTTTCCAGATAAAGGTAGATGTACATTTGTTCAATTCCTTAAAAAATAATTTAGGAATGAAAATTGGTATCGTCTGAAATAAATAAAGGAACCGTGGCATTATATTCATTTTAACAGAATTTATCTTCCCTGCTAATGATAAGGGGAGCGATGCCTACCTTTCCATATCTAATTTTGCTTTGTCCAGTGTAACCTTAAAGTTATTGTCCAGCAAATCTTTATATTTACTAGTTACATTAACACCTAAATACGTGAATTTGTCCTTATGTATTGCCAAGGGATAGGCCCGGAAAGAAAGTTTCCTCGCCTGTTTATTAATGGGGAAAAGAACACCTTTGTTTAAATTAATTTTATAGCCCGACACCCCCCCAAAATCCTTGATAATACCAAGTGCCACCGGGATACTAATGTCAGGGTTTGACAGGAAGAGGAGGAGATCGTCCGCATATAAGGATAGCCTATGATTTTGCGTCCCCCTTTGTATCCCCACCAATTCAGCAGCCTGTCTCAGCTTTATCGCAAGAGGTTCAATTGCCACATCAAAGAGCAGGGGTGACAAAGGGCACCTCTGTCTTGTACCCCGGAGTAGAGAGAAGGGTTCAGATATTATATTATTTGTTCTCACCCTAGCCTGGGGGCTCAAATAAATTATTTTAATCCACGAACAAAATGTTGGACCAAAGCCAAATCTTTCAAGAGCCATAAATAGATAATAATATTCTATTCTGTCAAAGGCTTTGTGGGCATCAAGGGATATCACAATCTCTGGTACATTGTTATCTTCAGCAGTATATATTACATTGAACAGACGGCGGAGATTGCTGGAGAGTTGTCTACCTGTAACAAACCCTGTCTGATCAGGATGTATTATCTTATTTATAATAAGCTCAATTCTAGCTGCCAGTACTTTAGTCAGTATTTTATAATCACATCCAAGTAAACTTACTGGGTGATACGACTCACATTTAAGTGGGTCCTTATTCTTCTTAAGGAGTACAGAGATCAAAGCTTGCAACATTGTTTTGGGCAAATCTTTTTTATCAAGAGCTTCCATAAACACTCTGCAAAGCAAGGGTATCAGTTTGGGAGCAAATGTTTTGTAAAACTCACTTGGGTAGCCATCAGGGCCCGGCGCTTTTCCTGTATTCATACTCCGAATTGCTTTGTCTATCTCCGTGGTCGATATGGGTTCCTCCAACCTATCTCTGTCAGCTGCCTCTAGTGGTGATATTTCAAGGTTTTCAAAAAAATCCTTCACTCGGTCCCTATCATTTTTTTCTGAGGTGTACAAGTCCTCATAAAAAGATTTAAATTCATTATTAATACCCATCTGATCTATAATTTTATTACCCATATTATCTCCTATCTCTACTATCCTACCAGCAGTTGCTGATCGTTTCAGTTGGTAGCTCAGGAGTTTACAGCACGCTCGTCATGCTCGTAGAGAACTTGTCTTAACCTAAGATATGAGTCCTCCTCATGCTGACTTGTCAGGATATCATATTCAGTCTGGAGCAGAATCCTTTTGCTATGCAGCTCCTCTAATGGAGTCATAGAATTTGCCCGGTCAACTTCTTTTATTGCTTTCATTAATTCTGTGGTACGTTTCATTTTTCTTTTCCTTTCACCAGCACTGTATGAAATGATTTGTCCACGTATATATGCTTTCAATGATTCCCATAAAGTGCCACTGCTTATATCAGAAGTATCGTTAAGATCCAGGAAAAAAACTATTTGCGAATTAATGAATTCTTTAAAATCCTCATCAGCCAATAATCTACTATTAAGGCGCCACATCCTCTGAGGTGGTGTATACTCAGGGAATTTAAGTTTCAGTGTGACCGGGCTATGGTCAGATAATACTATACCAGGGTATTCTACATTCATTATCATAGGGGTCAATTTATTGTCTAACAAAAAATAATCCATCCTAGTATAAGTTTGGTGTGGCGGGGAATAAAAGGAGTACTGTCTTGCAGTCGGATTTGCATATCTCCATGGATCGAATATACCATATGTCTTACAAAAGGAATTAACACATTGAGCAGATTTACTTAACACATTAATTGTTGGGCTAGAGCGGTCCATAGTTAAATCTAGGACACAGTTCAGGTCTCCCCCCAAAATCAGATTATGTGTGTCCAAATTAGGTAGTAGTGAAAACAAATCCTTAAAAAATTGAGCATTATCCCAGTTGGTTGCGTATAGGGAGGTTTGTAGATAAATGTGAGAAAGCTACTTTATCCTTTTTTTTAACCACTACAATATATTTATAGCTATACTATGTTAGGAGGTAGGGCTGGGCGATATGGCAAAAATAGAATATCACGATTTTTCCAATATTTTATCACGATTTCGATTTTATCACGATTTTTTATCCATGAATAGCATAACTTCAATTGCGTATTAAAGAAGAGAAACATTGAATAAATAAACATTTATTCATATTAGGGATAATCAGCACAGTGCTAACACACTTATATTTTAAACTCACACCAGAGATGATAAAAGCCCTGAGAGAAACAATTACAAAAATCTGTTTTTCTCGTTTTTCTAGTAACTTAACATAAATTAAAATCGTAAACATATTTAAAGTGCAAACATGTCAATTGCAAACGTATTGTGCAAACATTAACTTGTTCAAAATACTATGTAGCTCCCAGTTGCTCATGTAGTGGATAGTTAAGCTCAAATACGGCTCTGATGTGCGGCTGGACCAGAGATCTCTTGTGGTAGCAAAAAACTGCGCATTCTGAATATTTTCTGCAACAAGTCTCTAAATAAAGTAAAATTTTCCAGTGCAGATTGGAGACAACCCATAGAAGCACTGATTTGATCTCATTTCAGAGAAAAATAGAACAGGTTAGATGCACCTAATAAATAAAATTACTAACAAACTCAGGAATCTTTCTTTGCTTCACTGTTCTGGTGCTGAAAATATCACTAATGCGGATCAAAGGAGATACACAGATGAATGCACGTCTTATTATTTGGAAACTACATTTACTGCAGCTGGCAGAGGCAGAGATTGTTTCTATTGATACACGGATTTACAGAATCATTTTAAATGTTAATAGGGGAAGACTGCAGGAGGGAGCGGTAAATTACAGGGGTCCCCAACAAAAACAAGAAACTACGAGTCTGATGAAACCCGCTGGTTTTCCATCAGGCAGTCACGGCGCAGCTCCAGCGACCCAGTGACCGAGCTCAGTCCGGTACCGACACCGGCTCGGCAGAGGGTGAACGAGCCGAGGTGACGTCGTGCTCTGCTTAAGAAGCGGTGTTATTTTCCTGCTTCAGAAGAAGCGTCCAACGTGTTTTTAAGCTTTCTCCGAGACATGTCACGTTGCTAAGTTGTTAGCGCCGCGTGCTAAGGAAACCCTGCGTTCCTCTTCGGAACGTGTCGCTCAGCCGCGGCGAAGCCATGTTTGTTCACACACAAATGAAAACAAGCGGGGCACTAATATATTACTCACTCTGATTGGTTAAGGGTCAAACAAAGGCTTGTCATTCGCCTGAGGTAAGTTCCCTTTTCATTCAGAGGCAGAAATTCAACAGCAGAGCTGTGAATCGTGATAAAACGGTCTCTCAAAAATGACAGACCGTCAGATGTGTAGACCGTAAAACGGTCTAAAATCGTCATATCGCCCAGCCCTATTAGGAGGTTGCTAAGAGGCATGAAAAAATATGCTAATTTGCTTTCCAAATTTGCTATAACAGCTTTAATGGGACTATTTTCTGAAACAATTTTCTTTATACTTTAAGCTAAAAAAATGAAACACTGAACCTTGACACCTCTTCTACAACAAGTTGATAGATAGTATCTAAATGCAACACACCTGCTCTTTGATGTAGCTGTTCCCACAGGGCGCCAGGCCTCTCAGAGTTAGACCAACGATGAAGCACCACACGGACAGTCCAGTCTCAGCTGCTGACAAAGCAGCACAGGGGATCCAAAGAGCCAGAGTGGTGTCCTGACAGGAACAGGTGATAAAAAAGCAAATTAAGGCTAGAGTTTTACTGTTATACAAAAAAAATCAGAATGTAATAACTTTTTTCAATCAAAGGTAGAGTGGATGATATTTTTCTAGAGCATTTGTTGACACATTGCTTGAAATGAATGCTCTTCAGATGGCAACCAATAAATTAAACGTGTCCAAAAAAATCATTTTAATCACCCCTGAAATGTGTAACCCTGGGAGAACCTTGTCAATCGTCGTCATTGTTAATGACTGATCATAACTCATCCATCAACCTACTCTCTGTCCCTCCTCCCATTCTGCACACACCCCTGTAATGTGCAAAAATTGCGCATTCTTGGCTTGAAGCAGCCGAACAGGAAGTGAAGTTAGAGCTGGGATGCCTCGTGTAATGCGTTCCGTTGTTTGCAAAAATCATTTAAGGAGTTGTTTTATGTGTTCTGTTCTTGTTGGGAAATGTTTAATGACGCACCTGTTGTCTGTGAACGCAGCCAGTCCTCTATTGGCTGGTAGAGAGTTCTGCTAGTTTGTTGCCCCGGCAACACACTTGTGTCAGGAGCCAGTAAAGGGCAAGTCTGAGAAGGTTCAGGGCGGGTTCTGGAAGTACTGGCCTGGTGTTTGTAGGGTTTTTCCAGATTGTTGGTGGCACTGAGTTACTGTTATTTTGAAGTAAATAAACCAGGACAGTTAAAAACTGCCTCGTTTTTACCATTAACGCACAACATGCTATATTATCTAGCATACTAAATCGTTACTGTTAATGGTTACATTAGGAATTCTGGGAAAAAAAAAAGTGGTAACAATGGGTCACAAATAGGGATGAGCCGGATACTCATTTCAGACGAGTATCCGGTACGGATAAAACATTTTTGACGAATACGAGCATAAAACTAGTAAACCTCGTAAATATCTGTAATCGTGCTGAAGGAAAATCCTGATTAGGTAACTGACTGTCTTCACGCTCTGTGATTGGCCAGTCACATAGAGCGCCCGCCCCTCCCTACATACAAAACTCTGCAGCCGGCCGGGAGCACAGTCCGTCCGTCTCATCCACGCACACACACAGACGGTAACAGATCTCGCTGTGATTGCTTCACTGTTGCTCACGTTTCTTCAGTTTTCCCTAGGCTTTCTTCAGCTCGCCTCTTTTTCGGTTGAATATTTAAAGTTACTTTTTTCGTAATTTACATGGTGCATTTGACAAGACAGCTGACGTGCTGCATCAGTACCTCCGCTCCAGTCGGGTTTTTTATTTTTTTTAACTCCATCTCTCTCCCTCTCACCCTCTCTATCTCTCTCAGACACACACACCTTAATCAACATTGTTTTGTTTAACTTTGTGTGGGGCAAAATGCCAAGAACGTTAAGAAAAAAATCAGTTAAATGAAATTAAAATAAAAAAATACATAAAGTTGTGTCTGGTTCTAGCATTTCATATTTCTTAGTTCCTACTGCATGAGTTCAGATGTATTAATCCATGCACCTAAGTGTTCTGATTTTATTGAAAAACTTGTTCTGTAATAGTTTCTTTACTATTGTGATCAAAAATATTTAATCTCAATTCTGAGGCTGCTCTGTAAATAGTTTTCAAATAAACAATACACATATCAACTTCTGATCATTCCATATCAATTTCAGACTTAAAATAATATATTGATGTAAACCACACCCACTATCGGTTAAACCATGCCCACTTCCGGGTTATGCCACGCCCATTCCGAGTACAGATACAGATAATTTAGTTGGTTGAACAGATACAGATACAGATAGTGGTGTACTCGCTCATCCCTAGTCACAAACATGAAAATGAACCCTCTGAAAGGAGCATTGCTCGTTCCCGTATTCTGGAGGCGTGGCTTAGGGAAGCCTGTAGAAAGAAGTTAGAATAGAATAGACTATTGATCCCACAGTGAGGAAATTCACTTGTTACAGCGGCACCAACACTTATCGGAATAATTTGAAGAAAAATAATAACAAAGGTACATGCATATACACATAGGCAGTAGTCTAGTATTGTAACCTTCGACCGCTAAAAACCACAAATAAAAAAAGAAAAAACTTGGGTCCCAACACTATGCAACATACTGCAAGAGACACAGACGTACTGCACAAATCTGGTATTGAACGAGTATTGAACATATAATTAACATTGCATTTGTGTTACTGTGTAACAGGATAATGCCAGTCCAGCTTAAACTGAGAAGTTATAAACTGTGACAGCAGACCTTTTGATTGTGTATTTTCCTAAAGTAGCTAGCTTGAAATGCAAGAAAGATATCTCCCATTCCACCACTAAAATACAGCAACCTCAAGAAAAAATTAAGGAAAAAGTAATTAAAACTTAAGCGGGCTCAAGGTAAAATTTTAGACTTACGTAGATTCGTGTCGTGTCAAATGGACAATGAGCACTGACAGGAGAGCGGGCGCTGATGGGTACCGCCGTTTCATTGCATCCAAACATCAAACCTTTCCCATTGTTGGCAACAGTTATACCAACAGCCAAGAGAAGGCCCGTGCAGCATGCCGCTGAGAGCAAGGCATTCAGGAAAGATGCAATCAACAGCCCCACTTGCTGAGAACACACAGACATCATGAACAGTGTGGCCCAAACACACACAACCTGAGGTGCATAAGCTTCTAAAGTCAATTAAACTCTCACCAGTTTGAACTCATGAAGGTTTCTTGACACCACGATAGCAATGATCCCAGAGGCAATGCTCTGTAAGATTGGGAAGATAAGAGGAGAATTTGATCTTCAACAAAGTAGACTTTATTAGGTTATGAGCAACAAGAAATAATCCTGGCCTCAGGTTGACGGAGCACATTTTTAATATAGATGCTTGACTAAGCAAGCTTAAAGGATTCTGTAAAAGAATAAACAAAAAGCAGATGCAGTCATGAACATTTTACAACTTCTATGTGTTTTGTCTGATTTGTTTGAACAACTCTCATCATCTCTTTGAAGGTCATCGCAAACAAAGTAAAATGTAGCAGTTTTACTGCCGACAAGTGTCATTCTGCCTGATAAATGAACGTAATGAGGCCTTGCCCTGAAGGGACTGGTGACTGGTTGGAAGAACCAGCTCCTCCATGACAGACAAGTTCAGTCTTGACTGCAGAGGAACATTTTCTACAGAGTTACTGAGCTAAGAGAGCATCAACTGATGCAAAGATCACTCAAGAAGGTGTTAAAGGTGCTCATAACAAACCTAGGTAGGCAGAATGTCTTCTGAACAACAAATCATTAATTAAGCTATAAAACATCAAGTTCTGTAATGACTAAGTCAGGCTTTTCATCTCAGCTGTTAAAAAAAAAAGGAATCTTGACTCACCAGCAGGCCAGAAGTTACAGAAATGATGTTGGCTACAGTGTACTCAGTGCTAATTTGCTGGTTGGGTTTGGAAATGTGGCGCAGAACGTTTCCATGAACAATAGCTCCAAGGATGAAGTTGATATGTCCGACCAGGATGAGCGTTAGCCCCTTCTTCATCAGCCTTCCCGGCCCTTTGTCCTTATCTGGACAACAGAAGTGCACAAGATATGTTTAAAATGTCATAACCCAAGACATTACAAGTGTGTAAACAGAAACAAAACAAGAATATAAACTTCATCAACAAACAAGTGTCAATACTTTGACACCATGAATGCCCACATTTATTTATTTTGCGTTCATCTCCAGCAGTCTGGACCATTGCAATGGTCTTTTGTCTGGTCTTCCCAAAAAAAGCTGTGAATCAGCTGCAGCTTATTCAGAATGCTGCTGCTAGTCTTAATGTTGTGGATAGGTGTTGCCTTGGGTCACGTGGTGTCGGTAATAGTAATAGTGATTGCTATCACCTGTTCAGGCGAGGGAATGGGAGAGTGAGTGGGTGATGGGGGAATTCGACTTTTTTGCTGACTGCTCAAGCTTAGAATGTTTCTTTTATTTATCACTGTTTTCAACTGATTTTAAGGCTTTGATAACAAATAAAGGAGTTTTTTAACCTGGAACTTTGACTTACGAGTGGAACAGCGGGCGCGTCAACATTACTCCCCTATTCAGCTGCTCGGCGACTCAAAGGCTTGACAGTCGCCAATACTTAACAAGATCAAAGAGAACCAAACACATCACTCCTGTTCTTAAATCTCTACACTGGTTACCAGTAACCTACAGAATCACCTTCAAAGTACTTCTACTAGTTTATAAATCACTCAATGGAATGGGGTCAAATTACATGATCCTTAGGAAGCAGTCGGCTGGTATATCCCCGGTCAGAACCGAACTGGGTGAAGCTGGTTTTAGTTACTATGCTGCACACAGATGGAATCAGCTTCCTTATGTACTCAACTACAAATTCTAATAACCTTTAAATCAAAATTGAAAACAATATTTTCATCAGCTTTTAACTTATTGCTGCTTCTTATGTTGCACTGTTACTGTAACCACTCATTGCCAGGCTAACCACTCATGGTTGCACTCACGCATTGGGGGGTTAAACCACCAAATGGTTCCCGTATCTGCATGTGGCAAGGTGGATAAACGAGGGCCCGGGCGGGATTTGATCCCCAGACTCCCGGGTGAGAGTCATACGCTCTAACCAGTCAGCCAAAGGGACATCCCCTTGGCCAAGTAGCCAGGGGGGGGCGCACGATCAATCGGGACATTGTGACAGCACACTCACACTGTCACATCTTTCCTCTTTCCACAAGCACATCCTCGTGCTCCCGCGCAGGGTGCCACAAACTTCCCATCCATGGACCTACTTGACAGTACTACATGGATCCTGCCAACAACGCCAAATGTGGCAAGGTGGATAAACGAGGGCCCGGGCGGGATTCGATCCCCAGACTCCTGGGTGAGAGTCATACGCTCTAACCAGTCAGCCAAAGGGACATCCCCCTTGGCCAAGTAGCCAGGGCGCATGATCAATCGGGACACTGTGACAGGACACTCACACTGTCACATGCAGCTCACTGCTCCCCAGGGAATGGGTCAAATGCAGAGAACAAATTTCACACACGTGTGAAATTAACTTTTATTTTCAGCTTTCAGCTGTACAAGAATTGGAAATCAGTACCGACCCTCCTAATCAGAAGCACCTCCTCATAAGCAGTTAGAGATTATTAATGACTGATTTGTAAATCTACACTTTTTAGAAAACATAAGTTTTTGGTTTAAATAGAGCACAAGATGATAAGACTATGGACTTTTATTGTAGTAGTTTTTATTATTGTTTGCATTTTTATAGGATTTCATATTGTAGACTTGATTTATGGATTTGACTGCAAAGTAGCCTACAATAACTAGGCTCTGTTATTAAATGTGTTGTAAAAAAACAAAATAAAACAAGAGTGACGTAATAAAAAAAGAAACAATTTCAAAGTGAAAAGTAAAAGATCTACTGATTTATTTGGTGTAGACTACTAGTTAAAACGGCAATCTCTGACTTTGCTAATATAGATCAAATGTTTATTTTTTGAACGTTAATTGTTGTGAAGTCACGTTTTGATGCAGCCAAGGCAAAACGATTACGCATGACTGATTGTTGTGATTAAACAAAGAATATTTTGGATGAAATTGTTCTACATGTTACTGCGAGTTTGGAGTTGACTGAATAATTTTGAGCGAGAGGACATTAATTAACCAGCAGAGTATTGAAAGATAAAATCATTTCCCTGCGCGTGCAGGCCTGTGGTCAGCTACACCCCTGGAGGAAAAAACATGGTGACGGACTCGACTGTTATTTTTCCTCCAACATCTAAACCCCAGAGAAGGAACACTCACCAAAGCTGCACATTTCCCTCTCGGCCCGAAGTTTTCCCTGTGAATGAAATATCCGCACGTTCCTAAAGTTTAATCGTTCAACAAAAGAAGCTCCAAGCTCTCACGGTGCAACGTCTCCCGTCCACTTCCTGATGACGTCAGTAGACTTACCTGGAGTTTGCCACAGGTAGCTAACTAATAAATAACTACCGGACAACGATGTGCACGCATCACAATCGCAACATTGTGACTTTATAATTTAATGGTTATTCATATTGAAAAGAAATGCAGAGAAGTTGATGCATTTATTTGCAAAAACAGATATATTTTTAAAACTTTCATTTTGGTTTTGTCAAGATTTCAAATCTTAAAAAAAAAAAAAAAGGCACAAGGCTGTCCAAGTTTGACCAAACGTTCACATCATAGAGTTAGAGCTGCCAACCCTGTTTGATTATTTAATAACCAGTTTCATCACCACCAACAATTAAAAAAAAAGCCAAAATAGGGTGAGATCAGAAACAGAGGTGGTGCTTTTACATTCCCCAGGTTGACTCAAGAACAGCTTTGGGAAAATACAATCTTACAGGACATGACAAATAAAAATAACACGGAGCAAACCAGAAAACATGAATAACTTAAAATAGCCCTTCCAAGATACCCAACAGCAATTATTTGTTAACTATTAGACTAATGTGAGATGTCAAAAATGATTCTGAGTTAAATATAAACCAAAAGCTCGAACAATTTAAATAATCCCAAGACACTCTTAGGTTCAATTTAAATAAAATACCACAAGGGGAATTATTACATGCAATTAGATCTGACCTGTTGGTATGTATTTGAATTTTCAATGCACGCATTAAAAAAGATAAACTGAAAACACAAAATTGAATGAGCTATCGGTAGCAGTAGTACCAAAGGTCTGCAGGGAGTTCTGATGCAGGAAGAGGCGTCTACAAACCCCCGATCTCAATTCAGGTCAAATTATTACATTTAGAAGGATAATGTGTACTTTAAATAAGAAGGGAAGTGTGAACATTTGTGTCGGCCCAGATGTGTGGTTTCCAGGTGAAATCACAGCAAATAAAGTGAAAGAGAAGCACTTGGACTACAATATCTGACATTTCCAAGAGCACTAACTGACCTATCAGGAGAATGGGATTCATCATGGCAGAGTTCAGTTCACAAGTCACATGACTTCAAAAGGCTGAAAATGTGAAAAACAACAAAAAGCAGCAATTTTTTTTAAAACAATACAAAAGAGGACTCAAAAGCACTCACGATGATAGTATATATATATATATATATATATATATATATATATATATATATATATATATATATATCGATGACTCTGAGGTCACAGTATCTCAAAGAGAGCAGGTGATGTCGTCCCAAAGTGTGAAATATCTTAATGTACAGTTTCTTCTGACAAAAGTGTGAGGATAATTAAGTCTATGGAGAAAGTTTCATGTCTGAACTCTGGTTGAATTAGGAAGGACTATGTGAAATGAAAGGAAATGATCCCTCCATCCCTGGCAATGGTGCTTTTGTGATTACACTGTCAAAGAAAAGTCCATATTAAAAAGGACATGAATGGCTAAAACTATTTCTAATGTAAACAAAGAACATTTAAGGACAACACTGGTCTCAATGCATTCCATCCAGTACCTCATGTACCAATAATAAAATCCATTGAACACATAATGGTCAGCTCATTTCCACACACAGAAATTAATGCTTGTTTTGATATTTGTTAAAATACAGTAGGTGGTTCCTCTGGAGTTACCTGGCTTTGTCTTTGTTGTTGCATGCTTGTGTACTTAAATTTCGAATTCCCTAAAGTTAGGGACATTTCACTCTTTTGGTCACGCATTCACTCACAGCTCTGGAGGAAAAAGACTCGTCACAATGTGTACCCAAACAGATGGAAGTAACAAGCTCAAGATCCAATTCGGGAGGCTTGCTAGCGATGAGTTTGGTTGAATGTTTCTTTGAGCAAAGAAGATATTTTGAGTTGATCCTCCTGTGGAGAGCAAATGCATCGTAAACACATCCGTACAACTGCATCCACAACATTCTGATACCTGCATGATTGTCAAGCAATTTGACCACTTATGACTGAACACCAGACAGCCTTTGCATCAGTGAACCTTGGAAACCCTGTTAGCTCACCAGTGTTTTTCTTCTCTGAATTACTATTTATGTGTCCTGACTACTGCATAACAGCAACATCCCATAAGAGCTGGAGGTGAAAGGATCCTATAACCTAGCTAGGTGCCATCACAAATGATCAGCCACGCAGATCCGCGAAGACATCAAAAATAGACCCAAGGAACGCCAGGTGCCATGGCAACAAGATCACTAATGTGGTTCTAGAGTTTAAAAAGCACATTTATCTTGTTGTTGAATTTAGGCAGCTTAGGTGTTAAATGTTGCATACCCAAAAGTAGGGATGTCCCGATCGGGTTTTTTATTTGCCCTCGAGTCCGAGTCATTTGATTTTGAGAATCTGCCGATACAGAGTCCCGATCCGATACTTTTGATACATAAAAAAAAAAAGAAAGAAAAGGAAGAAACAGTTCCGGAATCTTCCTTATTTTTTATTTAATTACCTTTTTATTTTAATTTTTAACAACAGATCACTTCTGTGAGGTAGCTTGAACAATCAAGTAATAAATAATATAAATTCTTCACTTTTGGACTTTATTGCAAATATAAAAAGTCTAATATAAAAACAGATAGCACTTCAACTTAAAATACCTGGCAGGGGTCTAATTTTCCCTGACCCCCAAAATGCTTAGATACGCCCCTGGGCATGGGACGGAGTTTTGAAGATGATCTGAATTGTATCAACTATATAAATACTACATGCTGATAAATCATTGCTTTATACAGGTACAAACGTGCAGTGGGATAAATCTACCTACATTAGATTTTTTTAAGAACTTTGTTTTGTTTTCTTGGTTTTTATTTTCCCGTCTTCCTGTCCTATCTGTCTCTGATCTTCCTGCATCTCCCAGTCCTCCTGAAAAACTCCTGCCTGCTTCCTTCTTTTTCACCTCACAAGTAACTTTTTAACCAGCAGATCAAATTGATCTAATGACCGCAAAAAAAGCGGAGTGTGCGCCGCGCTGCCCGGCTGCGCCAGTGACGAGCGCTGCAGCGGGGGCAGAGCGAGCGCGTCCACACGTCATGCTCAAATCCAGACAGAACTTACCAGAGAGAAAATGAACGGACACGAATGACTGTGTGTTAATTATATATTTTTTGGTGACGCCACTTAGAAACTTAGAAAATCTTGCTGTGGCAGTGTGCAGAACGCAGCTGGAGTTCATGAATAATCAGCGGTCTGCCTGCCGCTCTCTCCATCTCTGCTCAAAAGAACTACGCTGAGTCCATATAAATAATATAATATAGGTAGAAACTGGATCTTTTTTGTTCTCCTTCTGGGTGTGTAAGTTAAGGGCAACAGGGGAGCCTGAGAACCTTTAAGGAGAACCAAGTTGCTCTCCTGTAATTTGAACCCAGTATCTAGTCCGGATCGGGGCTTGGATTGGGAAGTAAAGCCCGAGTCCTGATCAGTCTGAAACCACGTGATCGGGCCGATTTCCCATCATGTGATCGGATCGAGACATCCCTACCCAAAAGTCTGTGCTGTCTACAACCTTGCCTATGTAAACTAGTAATGACGTAAAGGCATAAAGCATTAACAATACATAAGTGTGCTCCAACAAAGTTTCTTTTGATCTACAGAGGCTTAAAGAACAGTTTTAACACAAAAAAGGAAAAAAATAACCTTCTAGGTTCCCTTTAACGTTTCTCTTCTCATGACAGCGGTCTTGTTGTTTGGCTGATCAATATATGAAGCTGTAAATGTGTGTAAAGCTGCTCAATGTGAAAATTTCTGTGTACTCGATGAACTTGGTCACAATCAAACAGAAAACAGCAACACACATCCCTAAAAAGGTCACAGCTGAACAAGCATTAAACACACAAAAACACACACCTCGCTGATCAAGCCTTGTTGGACCAAGTCTTCAGCTAAATCTTGAACTCGCTCATCTGAAACAGAAATTTAAACACAAGTAAGAACATTTTAACAGACTTAAGATAAAGGCTGCTTAAAATAGTAAATGACTGGTTTTGTATAGCACCTTCTAGGGTTCTACAACCCCCCAAGGCGCTTCACAACACAATCCGTCACCTAACCATTCACACGCTGGTGGTGATGAGCTACAATGTAGCCACAGCTGCTCTGGGGTGCACATACAGAGGTGAGGCTGTCGAGCACAGGCGTCAGCGATCTATCCGACCACCACCAGCAGGCAAGGTGGGTTACGTGTCTTGCCCAAGGACACAACCACAGCGACAAACTGAGTGGGATTCAATCCCACAACTCTCTGGTTACAAGACAGCCACCTAACATCTCTGCCACCATTAAATATAAAAAAATAAGCTCCAAACAGAATTTGAGTAAGTAGAGCTCCATACCATCTTTACACTTGTATTACATTATTCTCTCTCCTGGTAGAGTTTACTTAGTCAAAGTATTTTTATTTTGTTCACTCCCAACGTGAGCGATCATTTTACTGTGCTGAGTAAGCAGAAGAGCTGTCATGGCTCATTGGTTTAGTAAAACAAATGTAAATATTCCACTTTAACAGAAAAGTAACTGAGGCAACATAAGGACACAACAGTCGGTAAGAAACACCAGAATGCTACAGCTGCTACAAAAATACAGACATTCAAGCTCAAAGGGAGGTTTCTTCATTCCTAGAACTAAATTAGAAAATATACGGCTAAGATTATTTTTTATTAAGCGGTAAATAATTACTCTTGAACCGTGACTATGATCAAGAAGGCTAAATATGATTGGCTGTCAGTCTGGGAGCATGCACTGGGACTTTGGACTTTGGTCGGCAAGGAAGGCTTTCAAGAATCCTCCCTAATATTCAGCAGGAGTCTGTTTACAAAGAAAACGCAATGTGTTTGAGACCAGCAAGTGTGTGTGTGTGCGTAATATGATATTACAGGGAGCATGTCAGCGGAATTAGGGAGTGGAAGAGTTGGAGAATACGGATGAAATGAGAAAGTGGAAGAGGGGGAGGTAATGTTCAGTGATTCTGACATCTGCAACAGAATGTGTGTGTGTGTGTGTGTGTGTGTGTGTGTGTGTGTGTGTGTGTGTGTGTGTGTGTGTGTGTGAGATGGGGAGAGCCTAAAAAATATAAAAATGAAGTAAATGACTGAATCTGTTAGTGTTTGTGCTTGTTAGAGAGAAAGTGTCTGGATGAGCAGATAGATCATAGAAGGCATTGCAGAGCTTTTTCTGTGGATACAGAAGAAAAGGGTGAATTCATTTCAGTGTGTGTGTGTGTGTGTGTGTGTGTGTGAATGAGAAACAAGGATATGAAAGCCTGAGAAGAGATGGATAGGGGAGGTGACAGCTGTCCTGACATTCCCGACATGTCTGCAACTTTATACATGCATCCCATACCTGCGTGCATGTGCACATACTCATACTGACCTTACTCATTTACGAATGTGTGTGTGTGTGTGTACTGCCTTAATTTTCAGACTACATTCTTCCTCAAAGTTGGAATAATTTGTTAAACCATTCCTAACCTGAATCATTTAACTCTTATAATACAAAAGTAACACCCTATTTATGAAAGTTGCATATGTTCAGAAATGTCATTCTGAGGAATAAGAAGCTGCTGACTGCATTAGTGAAGGTTACATGACCTGTTGCCAGTTTAAACATAATAACTGATGTTTTTACGGCACGGCGGCAGACTGTCTCACTGCCTAAAATAGTCTTGCCTATTTTAAATCCAGTGTGCTTCCCCCACTGGTGCTAATTTGATTAGCTTGGCATGTAAACTTTACAGTTTAAACAAATGTCTAAATATGTAAGAGAACTAAGTAAAGAAGGAGGTGGCTCCATGAGTCCACTCAGGTGTTGGTGTGAGTAACGATCTTACGAGGTGCCATGTCACAGCTGAGGTGTCTGTTCATTTTATCTTCCAGCTTCAGCAGCAACGTCAACTGGAGGGAGGAAAATGGACAAGAGAGAGCAGAGGCGTGTTGGCAGCTGCTAACTACATAAGATCAACCCATAACTGTTAAAAACAGACTTACGTGATACTTCGCTCCTTCCTCAACAGGTTCTACATTACACTGCATTTGAATGACCTGCAAAAAATAAAGGTCATCAAAAAATAAATAAAATGTGTTCCTATTATTTGCAGGACCTACAAGTGACTCCTACAATAAAAAAGAAAGAGTGTAAAGATGTAGATGGTTATGAATGGTACACACCCGCCGTGTCTCCAGCTCTGTAGGTTCAGGTGTGGGGGGGGATTTGACCAGAGGAATGACAACAGGAGATTTAACCGTCTGTTGGTGAGCCTGCTGGGGACTGGGCACCCCAAAAGCTGTCATTGGATAAATACCATTCCTGATCAAAGAATGGGAAAAAGCACAATTAAACGAAAAACTTGTTTTTTTTTACAACAAAATCTAAAAAAAGAAGGAGAGATGGTGTCAGCCTGTCTAAACCAATAACTATTAATAAGTCATAATTTAAGATTATCAAGAGGCTTCAGAAGTGTATGGTGGCTCTCTACTGCCACCACGTGGTCAGATGATGTACTTTTACAGGTTGGCTTGACATTAGATGCTTCATACCGCACATCCTCCAGGAATTTGTCAAGTTCTAAAGCAGGAAACTGTGAAAGCCTGTAAAGAAACAGAAACATCACCTGAAACTGCTGCTGAAGCACAATAGAGCCAGGTAATGACTGATAGTTACACATTTAATAAACAAACAATAAATAAGCTTAAATAAGAACTTTGTTGTCATAATTCCTCTAACTCTACCTGAATGAGTTTATTAGGTCACAGATGGAGACTCTCACTTGACAATGTGGATCACAGCTTCTGACACTTACTTGAGCTGGACATCCTCTTTAGTTTCAGCGATGACCAGATTGGTATCAAGCTTCTTGGTGAGCTCCTCCAGAGCGTTTTCAGGAATCATGTCTGAACATTAGCAAAAGGCGTACGTCATTTCCAAAGCAGACTTTATCCCGTTGTTACTTTACCTCTGTGATTAGCTCACAACAGTCACTCAAATACAGCTTTGCAAAGTTAAGCTTAGGACAAGTCCAGTACTGTTCTTATTTACAAGTCTATAAAAATGCACGTTTCTGTTAAAGGCCCCATTCACTATTTGTTTTCAACAAGTCTGCTGTGGTCTCTTTTATAAATGAATGCCTTGTGAGTCATTTTCTGTGGGGAAAAAAAGCTCTGGTGTTCCCGTTTCAGGAAGTAGAAGTAAATCTGAGGATTGGGAGGATGAAAACGACAGGATTGAGTCTTACTCATTAATATTCATTAAATGTAAACATCTATCCTCTGATCGGCCAATCGCAGCATGACTCTTCCGCTGCCACTGTTGGCTCTTCTTTCTTTGGTAGAAAATGCAACATTGACGTTTTCTCTACAAATAACACGAGCCTGAAGGAGTTCTGCCATGTTGTTGGGTTACAAGTGCTCAGGGTTAGATGCTACCAGCCGAGACACGCTCTGTCCTTTCCTGGTCACAAAATTAACGCAGCCTTCTGCCGTTGTAAGCCAAGGTGGGCTGGACTAGAAATGCTGCTTTTCCTTGTGACGTAGAAGCGGCTGGTGTGCTCTGACCTGATCATTTTCCTGTCTGTTTTCTTTCTGCGGCTAATGCAGGCGATGGGGGTGGAAGCCTATAGACCACTTGAAGCGTGACATCATGCGCCCACACCGCCGCCGCCCAGCTCCAGCTCCAGGCTGGAAGGCAAGAAGCCAGCACCTCCTCGTTGACTTTATCTGTTAGTTGTCAATAAACAGAGCTAAATAGCGATGAAATAAAATCTATCAGAATAGTTAACACACGTAAAGCTGTAGGCTGCACAAGTAAAGAACAGTAAATGTTAAATTTTACAGAGTTCCAGCTGATAAAATATGCAGAAGGCAACAGCCGTGTAGAGAACTCTAGTGGATAAACCACCCACATCATGGCAGACAAAGTCTTGTTACACAATAAAAACGTTAAATATCTGGCCCATGTGTCCAGAAACAAACAAATAATAGCCATCTAATGACTTATGTGCTTTTTAAAATATAATGACACGCGGCCGCGGGGGCCGAGTAGCCAGGGGAGAAGCACTGGCCGAGCGGAGGGCAGCAGCAAGAAAGAGCTGTGCTGCTGATCAGTCCTGACAACTAAAGATGTGTGAAAATAAGAATGCAGGTGTAGTGTGTAATTCTGTGTCCTACCCGTGCTAACAGTCGCGTTACAATATTTACACCAAATGGGTTGTGTAATTGGAGTGGGCAGCTGCTAATGTCATTCGTTTTTGTTTCTTTTTACTATGCTCGTCAGAATAAATGAAGAATCTGTTCATCTCCTTCAGCATCAACCCAGAGATCCGGTTACTCCTTCGGTTCAGATGTGAGAAGTCCAGACGGCTGGTTCTGAAGAGGACTATCCTCCCCAAAGCTCGCTAGCTATTTCAAACGGCTCTGGAAGCTTTACACGAAACATCGTTAGCTTTGAGATGTTTATTTTGTTCATCTCCACAAAGATGTGTTAGATGACTAAAGTAGTAACATCTAAATCCCTAGGTTTAATCGTGTTAGCTTAAATCGTGGAGATGCAGCTCTGGATAATTGCTGGAGATGGGGTTCTTGCCCTCCAGCTTGTTGATGTGCGCAGTTACCCGGATACAAACTATAACCATCAACGGGTCTAAATTCACACTCAGCATGTGTGTGAAACTCAAGGTGACTGATAGCATTTCAAAAATCAGACCTTTAAATGGAAAAATGAGCATTTTCCCAGAGTCATCACAGCAAATTAGTAAGTCAGCTTTGAATATTTGAGTTTTATTTGTTTGTGTGTGTGACTGGAACTCACGGTGGTGGCTGACAATACAGTGAGCCGCCAAAAGTTTTAGGAGCGGCACTTCAAAGAGAGCCTGGTTAAACAGCAGCTCCCGGGCTGTGGGTCGTACACTGGGATCACACTCAAGGCACTTCTGAATCAACTCCTTATAATAAAACACAAAAACATCTTGGTTACAGACGTCTGAACAAAACATATATTAATGACCTATAGTTTATTCTGGTGTAGATTCAGGCATATTCTGCTGATCTCACCCTCTGCAGCGGATCCTCCAGGAGCTGAATGGCATTATCAACGGCTTCTGGAGAAACGTAAGAAGAGTCTCCATTTCCCTGAATTTCCAGAAGCGCCATCTGAAACGCATAAGCCAGTGATGAAGGACTGTGTTTAAAACAATTATAAAACAGAAAGGTTCTTGGAAGACCTCACCTCTAAGGCACACATGCCAAACGAGTAGATGTCGACAGCTGTGGTAACGTCGTTATCGGCTCCAATGAAAAGAGAAATAATTAGATCTTACAGAAATCCACTCATAACCAAGTCCTGACATCTAAAAGCTGAAGATAAGAACTGTATCGGATTCATTTTATGTAAGAGCAGATATTATTTTATTTATTCTAATCCTAATCTACAACATCAGAACTGTAATGGGAATTAAACATAAAAACTGTTTTTTTTAAACCAGAATGCATCTTTAGCCTAAAAGGAAATGTCTGATTGAGTCCAAAGTATATTTACAATATTACGAGTAAATCTAAAAAGATGCTTTTATATTAAGATGTTACAGGAACAAAATTCAAATGTCCTGCAGCCACTGTAAATTAAACCGTCTTATCCTCACATTTCCCCATTTCTTCTGTATTTGCACCAGACTCCAGAGACGCCTACCTGCATATTCGGGGGCAAAGAAGTGTAAGTTTTTCTGCTCTTCTTGGAATGTTTTTACATGGTTGTTAATGGTGTCTGGGGCAACTGTGGATGAGAAAAGCCATATAAATAACAGGAAGCTCATAAAGAAAAGAGAAAATAAAGAGCTTTTATTATGAATAATAAGAAAATAAGAAAAAAATATTTAAAAGCCAAAAGTTCAAATTTATTCATAGAAATGTAAAGTCCAAAGCACACAGGAAACGTCAGAGCTGTCATTAATAATTCAGATTAATTTATCTTCTCCAGGGTGAAACTGGTGTAATTCTATACCTGAGCCGATCTTAATGAGTCCGTTGTGCTGAATGAAGACAGTGTCGCAGGTTAGATTCCCATGAATGATGGGAGGGTCACACGAGTGGAGATAACTACAAAAAGAAGGTAAACAAAAACAAACTTTTATAAATTCATACAAAGTTCTCTCTGAGAATCTGCATCATTACAGGTGAGATCTTGTTTAGCTTAAATAAATCATTTCAAAAACTGACCTGAGAGCAGATAGGATCTGTGTGCACCACCTCTTCCAGGCCTGTAGAACCACAGTCTTGATCAGAATACCTCCAAGATCAGCCAAACATGGCTCACACCTTCTTAAAAGTGTGGATCACTTGTTTAATCAATACATTTGTAGTGGTTTCTAGTAGGAATGAATGCCTTGTAGGTCGTACGGGGGGGGGGGGGGGCGGCTCCGGTGCACCTGTTTCAGGAACTAGAAGTGAGCCAGATCAGGGGAGAGTTTCAGATGACAGGATTTGGAGTCTTATTTCTTGATATATGGACTAGAGCCCTGCACTGAAGCTCTAGGCCCGCGGGTCGGCCCGGCCCGACGGCCCAAGGGCCGGGCTTCGGGCCAACGACTGTGTAATTACCTCGGACACGGGCCGGGCCGGGCGCCTTTATTTTTAATCAAATTCATTAAAAAAAACTGAAACACTTGAACGCAGCAGCACCTGCCTGCTTCTCACGCACCGTTAGCTCAGTTAAGGTCTGTGTGGTTTATGAATGCGCCTGTATAAACGAATTCTCAAACTGCTGATTGAAACATGTGTCCCTATTCTAATACACCATTTTATGTCCACTTTGATGTCAGAAACCATTCATTTATTCTCATGAAAACGGCAGCATTCTATTTTTCTGCGAATAAATTCGCTCTGCAGATAAAAAAAATACAGCATTCATTTCTGTTTTTTTTTCTAACTGCAGAGCGCATTTTGAGAGCGGCAGATTAAATTTACAAACGCTTCATTAATTGGGGGCGTTTATTTAATCTGCCGCTCTGAAAATGCACTCTGCAGTTAGATAATGCTTTTTTTTCTAATTGCACAAGAGCGCATTTTCAGAGCAGATTAAATTTACAAACGCATCCAATTAATATAGTGTTCGTAAATTTCATCTGTCGGTCGAAAAATACTCTCTGTTAGAAAAAAAAAGCTGCATTGATTCCGTTTTTCTTTCTTTTTTTTTTTTTTTACTGCAGAACGCTTCCCACAGATGATCAGAATGCGGAGCATTCCATCACGCTAAAACATTATGAAAGGTTAAAAAAAAAGTCGGGCCAGAGAATCCTGAAAACCTTTTTGGACCGGGTCGGGCTGGGGCTCCACCCCCTCGGGCCGGGCCGGACACGGGCTCAGATTTTAGGACCGTGCAGGGCTCTAATTTGGACATCGTGTCTCTGGCTAAAAGCAGCACGACTCTATAACCGACTCCGTTTGCTCTCAAATGTTGATGTTTTATTTCCACAAATAACACAGGCATGGAGGAGTTCTGTCGTGTGGTGGAGTTGGCTTCTACTAGCTGAGATGTTCTCTGCGGTTTCCTACACTTTAAACCAACAGCAGCCTTCCCCCGCCACAAGCCAAGATGGTTGAGTTCATGAACGTTAAGTGACACTGTGACATAGATCTGTTTCGTTGTCTATTTTGTATCAGAAGCTAATGCAGGAGACGGGTTTAGGAGACTATGGGCGTTTCTCAATGCCAAGGGATCTTGCCTTGATGTCTTGGCACCGCCCCGGTTGCCTAGGAGTTACGTCATCAGGAACCACCAAGGGGTGTTCCAATGTTCGTTCTACTGTTTTCTATAAACAAGGAAGGACAGTGTCCTCGTAAGCAAGACGCCTGGCCTAGCAAGATGTCGCCTTGACATTGAGAGGCACTCTATTTTCATGTTCAGCCTGCATGTTAAACTCAGAGTGACCGATTATAATCAGATATAATCATTAAAAAGCCTTTTTTTTCAGTGTTCCACACCTTTAATAAACCTACTTAAAACAGTTTTACCTTGTTATTTAATCTTTCTTTTCTTAAACAAATTACACAGATATGAAATACTTTAATGTACCTTTTCATTCATAGTTTTGTGATTTTTCTTTGTTTTTTTAAGAAACTGCTTCAGGCTTCCGGATGACATGTACTCAGTAATAAAAATTACCTGCAAAGAGAAGGAACATGGTTCAAATTCAAGTTTTGAGAATAAATCACAATTATCCAGCTGCTAGAGGTTTGGCTCACCCTCGCCCTGCTCTCCTTTGTGTCAACCCAATATTTGTGAAACTTCACAATATTAGCGTGTTCCAAATGAATGAGGTTATCAAAGACGGCCTTGACTTTCTCCTAAAATCAAACAAAAATAAATAAAAACACAATTTAGATATAAATGCCGACTTAATGCACGTAAAACCTGTCTGGTGAATCAAAACAGCAAATATTTTGTAGGATAGGCTTAATCAGTGATCAGCCCATCTGAAACGGCAAAAACAAGTGTTTCTTTTTTCTCAATTAAACAGATTTGGCCAAATTTTGCATCAGCTTTTCAGAACTGCACATGAATTAGAAATGGGTATTGACCTTCAAAGCTAGAATTGGTGCAATTATGTTATAAATTATCTTCATAATTGGAATCAGTGATATAAACGTTAAAATCCTCTACCTCAACTATATATGGACTCAGATGTTGGTACTGAATGAATGTTGCATTTATTTTGATTATAAAAGGGCTTCACCTCCAGCGGTTTGAAGTTCTTCCTCTCAGAAATCATGACTTCATTCCAAACTACCTCCACTCCTTCTTCTGTGTCCATGGCCAAATAGGCAGCATCAATCCCAGGAACATTACGCTGATTCACCTACATTTAAAGGGGACAGGGACGTGTTTCAGTGGAGAAAACTCAACAGAACTCAAAATTTTTAGAAGCTTCATATGTCAAAAATCTTCACAAGCAAAGGCCTGCTAAAATCCCCACTTCCTTTAAACAGGTCTGGTGAGGTCACACAAGCACTGCACTTGTTGAACAAATATTTTTTCAATTCACTGCATTTAAAGAAAACGAATGACTTTCAGCAAGAATCATATGAAAATCAAAACCCTGCGTACCTTACTGTTTCTTATTTTGAAGCCTTGGGTTTATGTGTTTATACAAATATTGACTTTTCCCTTCTTTGACCTTCTTAATGGAACCGATTTAAAAATAAACAGTGCCCTTAAAATAAAGTCACTTGTTATTTTTTCCTCTCTGGTATTAGTCATGTGTCATCTGAATGTTTATACGGTTACTTGTAGGACAGGTTTTACCAGGGAAAGGGCAAACTTAACAATTTACATAAATATTTCAGCATAGCTTTAACACTAGGGTCAAAATTAGGGACAGACCAATAAATCAGGCTGATATTTACCATTTTTTATCCATCACACAGCTCTTTAGTAGAGTCAGGCTGATCCGCAGGCAGCCAGGTGCTGCTGACAAATTGTATTTAAATATATACTTTACATTCTTGCATAACATTTGCTTCATAAATGCACTAAAACACTGTCAGCTGTAATTTCCCGGTTTTGTATTTAATATGAGGTCTGTTTATCAATATGCTTGACTAACTTTGGTTAAATGCAATATTTAGTATGTGTTCAATACTCATACAATACCGGATTTACATTGCATGTCTGTGTCTCTTGCAGTATGCTACATAGTATTGGAACCCAAGTTTTATCTTTTTTATTTGTGGCTTTCAGAGATCGAAGGTTACAGTTCTAGACTACTGCCTATGTGTTTATATATGTACTGTTGTTATTATTTATCTTCAAATTATTCCCTTAAGTGTTGGTGCTGCTGTAACAAGTGAATTTCCCCACTGTGGGATCTATAAAGTCTATTCTATTCTAAATGATTGATTTTAATACTGAGCAGCGCACAAAATTAAGATTCAATGGTTAGTGTTCGAAAACGGATTCAGGTTAAGAAAGGTTGTGACGATTTAGCGTGCAGATAAGACAGAAAGCGTCTAGATATCGGTCATCAGCCAGCCATGATCTCTACATTATGGTATTGATGTCGGTAATAAAAAAAACACATTGGTCGATCTGTCTCGTTCAAAACTTAAACGTTTTAAGACAATTTTATATGACACCTACATTTGAATGCTTTTTAACGGATGTGTGTGTGAGACGTGGATGGTGGATGTGGATCAAATGATCACCTCTTCTCTACGCTTCTGCCAGCGGCCACAGGGACTCTCCTCCAGGATCTCTGACTCATCTTCACTCTCATCCTCATCCTCCGTAGCTGAAGCGGGAAGAGGCTTAGGGGAACCCAGAGACGAAGCGACCTGAGTTGGGCAGTTGGACGCGCTCCCTGCTGTGAACTCGGTCTTCCCCTCCGCACCTGGAGCGGCTTGCACCTCTGCGTCCGACATGACATCCAACAGCTTCCAACTTTGATTCACCAGGTTCCGGATGGAGACGCCTCTATCTCCAGCTCTGTTGTCGGTGTTTCAGCTGGTCACACATCCATTTTCCTCCACACGGCAATGAAACGAACCAAGTGGCAACTCTATAACATATAAAAGAAGTGTTGTGTATTAGCATAGCAAGTAGAGCCCTTACAGACCTTTAACCAAAGTAAACCAGAGTCAAAGTCGTACTTTATGCTTGATTAACAACCCCTCTCTCGTGAGAACAAGACAAAAACAGTAAAAAAACAAATAAAACAGACGAAGATGAATAAGTTGGTTCAGATGTTAGGGTTTGTCAAGGCTAAAGTCCAGCGTCAACATTAGCTTATAATTCAAACACTCCTTTGCTAACTTTCTCTCAGCTAACAAGCTACTGTAAAGGAAAATAAACAAACTGCTAACTACCGCTAAAAGTTTAAAAGTGACACAAAAGATCTTACCGATGAACACAACATGATTTGCGAAGTGACTCGTTTCGCGTTACATGTTGTTGAAGGCAGTAAATAATAAGTCTGAACAAAAATAGCTAGTTCGTCATGAAAAATGTAGCATCTCAAGTCCCTTTCTCTCAGAAGTGGGCGGGGTGGGACGGTGTTGTGCAGAAAAAGTACCCCGACTGTAAAAACTCCCTCCGTTCAGGATAAACGCGATTTTAGTAATATTTTATTTTTAATGATTTATTAAAGAAAGATGAATGTGGTAAATTATTTATTTATTTATAAATCTAAATAAGTTTTGGTCCATTTTAGAAATAATAATGCAGGCGATTTTAATTTGTTAAAATGGTTCACTCAGTTATTATCACAATGAAATACTTTTATATTGTTTTGTCCTAATATTATGGACAATGAAAAACAAATCACTCTGGCACTTTTATGAGTGCCTCAAAAATGTGCTTCCCTCTACGTTCTCAATGTCGATGGTGCTTCCGAAGCGGGTCTTCCCACGACATGGGTACATTTTACGGCACAACAGGCCGTAGAGCAGCGCTGCTTGCGCACAGAAAACGCAGTTTTGCTAGGGTACACCACGTACCTAGCTGCTCTCCTCCAGTTAAGAAGTTAGCTTTCTGTATTAGCTTACACGCTAACGTGATGCAGTTTAAACAAAATGCAACTGAATGTTGTTTTATGTTTAACATTAAAACCACAACCAAATTAACGACCGTGCTGTTTTGTCATCATATCTAGAAACAGCTAACGGGTCAGCAAGGTTCAAGATAGATCATCTCTATGTAAGTTCGGATGTAAGGGTTTGGAAAAAGCTTAAACAACTAAATAAGTGATGTATTAAAATCACAACGCAAACAATTACTGTCATCAAATGTAAAAATACAGATGACAATAATAAAAACGCAACCCCAAAAGATAAGTTTAGCGTTCAATGCTGCACGTTAGAGCGAAGCTGCAAGTTTTTGGAGGGGAACTATCTTGGCTTCGCTGCAGACAGCTCGGACAGCTGTTTCACGTTGCTAAAATTCTGCGCAACCGGGTATCAAACGAGTTCGCGCAGGGCAGCGATGCAAACCAGCTCGATTGAACATCAGAGAATGCTCATGTGTCTGCCTTTTCGATGAAAAAGAGCCCCGCATTTGCGCCTACGATGCGGGGTCTTTCTGTTGCGGCTTGCGCAGTCGACAGCGATGGGTATTAGTGGGTGTTTTATGGAAGGTGGGACGAGGTAGAAGCTGGGGAGTCGGGGGCATCAGCGGAGCCGAGAGCGGAGCTCTAGCAGGCTAGCCTTTGTGGCTGAGAGGCTGTAGCAAAATAATATATTTGTCATAAAAACAGATCATGGCCTCCAGTAGTGACAGTAGTTCACCCGGGATGGGAGAGATCATCCAGCTAAATGTCGGTGGTACAAGGTAAGCATCTTCTGGAGGATCTAAGATGGTCCTTTATTTATTTATTGTAAATTAGCTTTGCCTAATTAGGTGCATGGTAATTTTTAGATGATCTAGTATAGATAAAAAAAATATATTACTACAGCTTTGATACACATCAGTAATTTAGATTGTACACAGTGTACCAGTTTTTCAAAATAAAAGGCATTATTTATTATATAAGCTACTGCCCTCTGACCTTTCTGGTCATAATAATATTGGCAATTTGTGATCTGGCATTTATCATAACCGATGTTATTTATAATGATGCTGTTGTTGGTTTTTATGATAGGTTCAGTACCTCCAGACAGACTCTGATGTGGATCCCTGACTCCTTCTTCTCAAGGTTAGTTAAAAGTAATCGGTGATGTTATAGCTCCTTAGTACAGGGTAACCCATAAGACAGCTGATCATGTTAACTCAAACACTGGGCTGAGATCAGACAACAGCTGATGGGTGGTGTGAATGCTTGGCTCGCTGCCTGCTTGTGTGTCAGGCCTTACTACCAGCTGTCCTCAGTTTCTAGTCAGCATTTTAAATTTGATCTTGAACAAGCATGGTGGTCACTACCAAACAGACCAGAATTTGGCGACATCAGCATTGAGACAAATGTAGGTAGTGTTTAGGCCACGGATATGTGAAAACAGAGAACGGTTTGGGTTAACTGGAGAACTGTGTGTGTGTTCTTTTGCAGTTTACTGAGCGGAAGGATATCCACTCTTCGGGATGAAACTGGAGCTGTGAGTAACCTTCGATACTTTTTAGTGTGCAGAACACAACCATCAACTCAAAAATCAAGATTCCAGTGTACATGCTCAGAGATTTGGTCTATTTTTCAAAATGTAAGATTTTTTAATGTAAAAAAATAAATTACAAATATAACATTAGACTTCTTTGGTTTCTTCAAGGTGTTTCGCTTCTCATCCGAGGAGCTTTGTCAGTTCTGACTGGAATATGGGAGGGTCAAGCATGTAAACTGTAGCTGTCTATAGACGAGCAATAGACATCTACAGCTTAACGTTCTGTTCCAGTCAGAACTGACAAAGCTCCTCGGATGAGGAGTGAAGCGCCTTGAAGAAACCAAAGAAGTCCAGTTGCCTTCATTTGAACCATATTTGACCTGGATGACTGAGAACCTTCACATAAATGTGACATTATATTTTTTCATGTATCAATTTGAGACGATTTGTGTAATAAATAAACAACTTTTACTTCATTATTTTACACCAAAATTGGTTATTAAACAAGTCTCTTTGGAGGTCATCTGCTAATAAATTTTTAGATCTGTACATTACAGATAACTAATTCCCATTTTTAGTTAATTCCCATAATTAAAGTTCTAAACTTCTTACTTTCAGATATTTATTGACAGAGATCCTACAGCGTTTGCACCAATCCTCAATTTCCTACGAACCAAAGAACTGGACTTGCGGTAAGAATCAATATTCTTGGCTCTTTTATGTGGAAGTTGTGTCTATAAATGATCAGATAATTGTCAAAATACATTTTCTGTGCTTTTTAAAAATCCTTGCAGAGGTGTGAACATCAGCGTCCTGAGACACGAAGCAGAGTTCTATGGGATAACTCCCTTAGGTGAGCTGCCCAGCAAAGTTTGTTTGCAGCATAAAATATAATTAGTAATACAGAAACCTGTTTATGTTTTGGTATGAGCATAAATGCAACATCTACAGCATCAACAGGTGTATATATTTTCATGTCACTTCCATGTAGATGTTGTCTTACTTCCTGTTTCCAACTTCCCTGCATTGTCTGCCTACTTGTGTAGGAATTAGCTTCATAAAAAAGCTGACCAAGTCATTAAAATGTAATCATGCGTACATTTTACAGAATTCAGTGCAAGAATAAGTAAAAATAAAGAAATTAAATAAATATTTAGTGTGTGCTTTTGTTTAAAACCATGTGCAGTACGACGCCTGCTGCTGTGTGAGGAACTGGATCGCTCTTCGTGTGGCAGCGTCCTCTTCCATGGTTACCTTCCACCCCCGGGTGAGGGAATGAAGCTTAACTGAAAAACAAAACACGCACATATAACCAGGAAAAGCAATATGGGAGCAAAATTAAGTATTTATTTGCTCATCAGCCATCCCTCCTCGGAAGTCGAGCCCTGCTTTAGCAGCTTCTGACCAGCGACCCGGTCCAAGTGGAGCAGAGGGCTTTCCTCGTGTCGGTCCCCTTCCTCATCCTTCTTTATCTGACTCTGCTGGCACAGGTGCCACCTCGAAACTAGGTACGAAAAACTGGAATACAGTCAAGATTTGAAGCAGAAATTTAAACTCATTCTTATTTCGACACATCTGTACACTGATCTGTCAGTCTAACGTTTTCATGCTTGTGCAACACACACTTTAGAGAATATGAGTATGCATCGGCGCTGCTCCTAATCTGACCTGAAATTCTTGTAGTTTGAGGAAAGAAAACTTTCTAATTTTAGATTGTGTTTTGTTTTTGTGTGTAGGTCCCATTGTTGACCCCAGGAAGGTGCTGATAGTAGCAGGACATCACAACTGGATTGTAGCAGCTTATGCACACTTTGTCATCTGCTACAGGTACCACCACTTGAGTTATGCAGGGGAGGAGAGTTAATTATTCATCATGGGGCGCCTTCTGCATCTCATATTTCTGATTAAATCCTGTCGTATGTTTATGTAAATGTAACTAGCTCTGCAATAGAAATAAAGATAAGGGATAGTGTACAGCTGCTTTATTGTTTTCCTCTTACACACTCATGTAAAGTCAAGCCACGTCCCAAATTACAGCCTGGATCCTTTAATATTATGTCTGGTCTTGTTTTATGGATGTAGAAATGTAAAAGCTGGATGAATATTTGTGCTCCCTCCCCAGGATAAAAGAATCATCTGGGTGGCAGCAGGTGTTTTCCTCACCCTACCTCGACTGGACCATCGAACGCATTGCGCTAAATGCAAAGGTGGTAGGTGGACCACACGGAGACAAAGACAAGATGGTGGCTGCTGCCTCTGAACACAGAATCATCCTCTGGAGCATCCAAGATGGAGGCAGTGGTAATGAAATAGGTGGGAAGAAATGTGACAGATATTTCATCTTTTTTTTTTCTTTCTCGACCGTTTCTAACTCGGGTCTCCTCTGACCTCCTGCAGACTTTGACTCTTTCTCAGGTTCCTGCAGAAACTCGCCACTAACTCGTCACTTTCTGCCCTCTCTGATCAGGTGTTTTCAATCTCGGCGTACCTGTCGACGACCTGTTCTTTATTGGAAGCCAGCTGGTAGCGACAAGTCACACGGGAAAGGTCGGCGTGTGGAACGCAGTCACACAACACTGGCAGGTAGGATGTGCTGAGACTCGACTGGGAGAGAAGCAGGAAGTCTTTGTGATCCTACCCGCTGTCCCACATTGTTTGGAGCTTGATCGGTTTCAGTCGGAGACCGCGCAAGAGTTTGGATTTACTGACATGAACTTTTATGTTTATGACATCAAATTGTTACTTTTAACGGTCGTCAGGTTCAAGATGTGGTTCCCATCACGAGCTGTGACACAGCAGGGTCCTTCCTGCTGCTGGGCTGCAACAATGGTTCCATCTATTACATAGGTACACACACACACACACACACACACACACACACTGGAACCACTCACTTTCTAAATGCTGGTGAAGTTAAATGGAAGTTCTTTTAAAACATAAGATGCTGCCACAGACTGTTCACCCAGTATCTGAATATTTTTAATAAAGTAAACATAAGTCTAGCTACCAGCTCCAATTGCAGGTTTGATCTCATTAAACATTTATTTTTTTTCCCAGACATGCAAAAGTTCCCACTGAGGATGAAGGACAATGACCTTTTAGTGACGGAGCTTTATCACGATCCCTCCAACGATGCCATTACTGCTCTGTCTGTGTACCTCACACCTAAAACCAGTAAGTACTCCAGTAAAAATCAAAACAAGACATTTTTGGGTAGGCAGTCCTGGTCTGGTGCTTTTGTTCTTCTGGTTCTTGTGCAAATGTTCCCAAATAGTCATTTTAATAAATATTCTAGTGCATTTGTCCTTTTCCCTTTGTCTGCTGTCAGGTGTGAGTGGGAACTGGATAGAGATCGCCTACGGGACCAGCAGCGGTGCAGTGAGGGTGATCGTACAGCACCCAGAGACGGTGGGGTCGGGTCCTCAGCTCTTTCAGACGTTCACCGTGCACAGGAGCCCAGTGACAAAGATCATGCTGTCTGAGAAACACCTGGTTTCAGGTGAGGAGGCCGCAGCGGGGCTGTTAACATCAGTTTGCTTTCACTTGATGCATTTGAAATTCAAGTTTGTGTTTTCGTTTTTGTGTTAGTGTGTGCGGACAACAACCACGTCCGAACTTGGACGGTGACGCGGTTCCGAGGGATGATCTCCACACAGCCCGGCTCCACACCTCTGGCTTCCTTCAAGATTCTTTCCCTGGAGGAAACAGAAAGCCACGGGAGCTACTGCTCTGGGAATGATATCGGTAGGAGTGGAAAGAGGAGAACGGACCAGTCTGAGTAACGATGCTGACTCATGCTGGGGGTGGTCGGAGGGACCGGTGGCACCTGTGTATGGCAGCCTAGCTTCCATCAGTGTGCAGTAGGGCAGTTGTGGCTACAATGTAGCTCATCATCACCAGCATGTGAATGACTATTTGTTGTAATGCGCCTTTGGGGGGGGGGGGGGGGTCGTAGGACCTTAGAAGGCATTAATAACTTAAGAAGTGTGAATAGGGCTGAGAGAATATCTGTTTCCTTAAGTGTCTAAAAATGATTCTTGGCCTCAGGTCCGTTTGGAGAAAGAGACGATCAACAGGTATTCATCCAGAAGGTCATCCCCATCACCAACAAACTGTTTGTGAGACTCTCTTCAACTGGAAAAAGGTGCAGCATCCTCCTTAAACCTTTTCTTGATTGATGCTCTTCTATTTACATGCTACACTGTCACTTTTTCTGTGTCTCAGGATCTGTGAGGTGCAGTCGGTGGACGGAACCACCATCTCCTGCTTCATGGTTCGCGAGTGTGAGGGTTCCAGCCGAATGGGGTCCCGACCACGGCGGTATTTGTTCACCGGTCACGGCAATGGCAGCATACAAATGTGGGACCTCACAACTGCAATGGACACAGCAAACAAAGGAGAGGAGAGGAAGAAAGAAGGTAAGGAAAGATGAGTGGGAGGAGAAACTGGGAGAGAACTTCCTGCGTGTGCAAGCCGTTATAACTAGGAAGGACCGGATCCGATCACGTGATCGGAAATCAGTCTCGATCGGAATCAGGTGTTATTTCCTGATCAAGATTGAATACAGGGTTCAGACTCAGGCAGCTGCGTCCTGCCACACTAATAATCTCAAAGTGGCACCACTCAAAAACTATAATTAACACACGATCATTCATGTCCACTTATATTCTCTGGTACTTGGTCTTTTATTCGTGTCTGATGCACTTCACTGCTGCGGAGCTCATCACCCGTGCTCCGGTGACTTCACCTCACTGGCACGGCCGCGCGGCGTGCACTCTGCTATTTTTGCTGTCAGTAGATCCCTTCGATGTGCTTAGTTCAAAAACAGCTCATGAGGTGGAAAAGGAGGAAGCCTGACAGCAGTTTTTGTGGAGGACAGAGAGGAGATGCAGGACAGGAGACGAGTCAAATAAACAAGAAAACAAAACAAAGTGGTTCAAAATGAAAATGTACTCAGATTTATTCCACTACACATTTTTACCATTATAAAACTATAATTTATAAACATATAATATTTATATATTTGATAAAATTCTTCAAAACTTAAGTCTCACACCCAGGGCCGGTTCAAGGCGTTTTGGGGGGCCAAGGCGGAGTAGACACCCTGCCAGGTATTTTGAGTTGAGGCGCTATTTATTTTTATATTCTGCTTTTTCATATTTGCTGTTGCACTAAAGTCTTTTGACTTGTGAAGAATTTAGGATTACTTGATCATTCAAGCTACATCACAGAAGTGCTCTGTTAACAGAGTTGTTAAATGTTAGAAGACAGTTAATAAAAAGTAAGGAACATCCAGTTTTTTTGCCTTTTTTTATGTATTATAGAAGTATCAGATTGGGACTTGGTATCGGTAGCTGCTCAAAATCAAATGTCTCAAACTCGAGGGCAAAAAAAAAAAAAAAAACCTGATCAAGACATCCCTGGTTTTAACGGATGAAACCTTGTTTATTTGGCCGATTGAACTTGTGTTGTGTGTTGACAGATGTAGGTGGACCAACAGAGGAGGAGCTGCTACAGCTGCTGGACCAGTGTGACCTGAGCACTTCACGCTGTCCAACACCAAACATTAGCCCCGCCCCGTCTGTGCTGCACCACACACGCCTCAGAGAGTCCTGCTCCAGGTTAGAATCACGCACTTGCTATCGACTGGTTGGTTCTGACGTCATGTCCCACCTGTCTGACGCCTCCTCTCTCAGTCTGCAGCTACAGGCCCAGGAGCCCATTCCCGAAAACCAGCCCACCTACGGAGCGGTGCGGCCCTACAGAGAGAGCCCCCTGCTGGCCCGCGCTCGTCGAACAGAGTCCTTCAACAGCTACAGGTGGAGTAACCTCAGCAGTTTATCTGTCGGTTAAAAAAAGCTGGTTCTGATCCCAGTTGTGTTTCCACAGAGACTTCCAGAACTTGAGCCTGAGCCGGGGAGCCCTGGACAACACAGGTCAGACATCCAGCCATCAGGCTTCTGATGCTCGCCACTCACTGTGTGACTTTGGACCTGAGGATGGCGAGAGGAGGAGCTCTGTCATGGAGCTCTGGGCTTACCGCTCTAATGCCACTGCTGGCAGCAGCTCACTGGCAAAAGCAGAACCGGGTCAAGAATCACCATCGCAGCCTCCTGGGAGCCCAGTTCCAGCAGGAGACGTCAGGCGAAAAGTGCATCCTCACTCAGAGGAAGGGGACAGCGTTGGGGGAGACGGAGCCAAGGCTGAGGGAGGTGTGAGGAAGAGGGGAGTGCTAGAAGGAGGCTTTCTAGGAAGGAAGAGAGCTCCTCCAGTTCCAAATCTCACCTCCGTCCCCTCCGGATCAGAAGGTGGGGGCAGCGACTCCTCTTCAAATGCCTCACCCTCACCAACCAAAGTTGCTGCTTCTACCTCGCCCAGAAACAGGAAGCAGGCGTCCGAGTATTTGAATCAGGACAGCAGCCTGTGAGAGCGGCTCTTGTTTTGATCACAGACAGTTTAATTTGTCTGGTTGAGACTTGGTTTGAGTGCATGCCGGTCAGTAGATGAAGAAGGTATAAGATCTCAACACTAACAGTAGGACATCTCAATCTGAGCAAAAACACTTCTTTTTAATCTTTACAGGCTTTATTTTTAAAGTCAACAGGAATTTAACTGGAGCTTCACATATCTCAGTCTGTTAGCACTTTTTAAGTTTCAGGCTAATTTCTACTCATGTTTTCTCACCACTTATGCAACAACCTCCGAAACCGTTACCATGGAAACAGGCCAGTTTGTTGGTGTACAGTGTGTGTTTTGTTAGGTCACAGATTAGCATGAACACATGAAAAATCCAGACATAGGAAAAGAAAAACATCAGAAACATTGAGTTGGAGTGGGATGTTTAGATTGAGGCAACAGTTGCACAAATTTGCAAAATTAAAGCGTTTATAATCTAAAGTTAAAGAAAACAAATCTAGAGTAAGGATAATTTAAATTTAAAATAGCAAGATCCTGAAATTGATGCGTCAGTTTAAAGATCCAGATGACAACCTGATTTTTCTGCAGGGTCAGACCAAAACAGCTCGTTTTTTTTTTTTTTTTTTGTAAAAAAAATTAACTAATTTACCTTAAACACATTCCCTTTGCCAGTAGGTTGGCAGCTACTGGAATCCCAAAATATTGTTGAGGACATGACAGTAAAAGGCCAACTGACAAGGTTTTATTTTTATATGTAGGTCGGGAACGCAATAAAGTCATCAGTCAGGTGGTTCACACAATGATTGCTCGGTGGTATGCAGCTGGAGTTCTAACCCAGGTGTCCACATTAAGGTTTGTATTGATGTTGTCCTGCAGAAACACTCAAACTGTCAGATTATCTGTTAATTCCTCATTTAAAGGGGACATAAGTGCTAATAGGCCTATAAACAAATGTCTTTATGAAGTTCTTCAACAGCTACAGGTGTTCTCTGCACTAAAGCAATTTCAGTGGTTTTATTCTTGACAGAAGAGCCATTTAAGGGCTCTGCCACTTTAACACAAGCAGTTTCTGGCCACGCCCACCCACCTTCTGATTGGTTACTACAGCTGAGAAACTCTGATATCGGGGAGGGGCTCAGAGTAGAGCCACTGCTCCTCCAGTAGCAGCTGCTGCTCTTCTCCAGGTGAGATGCGGTTCCATCCTAATTTCCCCACTTATGATGTCACAAAAGGGGACTTTTTAAAATGGCTCATTTTAGACACATAATTCCTAAACCAAACATTGACAGAAAACAGATGGACAGATTGTTTGCAATTTTGGACGGTTTATAGAGGCAGCAACGTCAACAACCGAGGGTGGGAGATGGGTGTGTTGTTGTCAGGGTATCCCAACTGGCGTCTGTCGGGGGATCTCTGAGCAAAGTGGGTGGGGTGCGGTCTCATGCCCCTCCCCTGGATCCCCCACCAATTTAGAGGCTGAAAAATGTACTTAAACCATTCTTCCCACTTACATATTTACAGCCAAAAGCAATGCATCTCATTCGTAAACACACATTTCTAGTTGGACAAAAGAACTGAAACACTTTATTTTACAATTATTAGTCTCACATGCTCTTCATATATATATATATATATATATATATATATATCAAGCTGGGTGGCATCATTTTCTGCTTCTGTAAACAAACATAACTAAAGACGTTTGTACAGTTTTATACACTAACAGTGAACATATATGGAGAAGACAAAATCCTGATCAGGATGCACTATAATTTATTTATTTATTTTTTAAATTCAAAACTTGTCGGACTTTTCCATCGGACACGTAAGCATTCATGAAATGTCAGCAACATAGTACGCAACAGCTAGCTGCTGGTGTAGTCGATGGGTACGTTTCCACCAGTGAGGGTGTTATGTTTTGAAGAATCCCAGATGATGTATTTATGTGCTGCACATGACAGCGTCAAAGTCCACCGTGTAACTGGGGCCAGACAGGAAGTCAAACACGAAAGCAGTGTTCAGTATTTGGAAATGTTCACAAATAAAGTCATCTGCAGATTTCCAGTTGCTTAACTAGTAAAAAGATGACGCCATTTGCTGTGAAACCTATGTTGCCAAGGTAAACGGAACAGATAATATACCACAGACCTTTTTGCATACATGCTGCAATGTTTCTCCTCGTTTGTAATCGTGTTAACTGCCGAAATCACGCATGGTGTTGCAATTTTCCCATGATTTTTGTCACCTCGCGGGCCCAGCTGTGAAGGCTTTTGATGCTTTTGATGCACTTGTCTGAAATGCTTCCTGTGGATAACACACATCCAGTGGAAAGGCTTGTCCAGAACATACAGTATGTCACCATCAGTCTTGGTGCCTCCTCAGACATGGGCACACGCTATGTGACTGACATTGGTATGTAAGCATATTTGTCTAACGCTATTGGCTAATGCTCAGCAGCGTTCAATTCAAATTGCATGGGGCTCTACAGGATGGAGGACAAGCTTAGTACAGGTTAGGACCATCACCTCATGGATTTCTAAAAAAAAAAAAAACCTGATTAATTCCTGAAAAGGGAAAAACGTCTGGATTGCATCTTTAAAAAAATAACATTTAAACAAACAATGGCTTCAGATCTGTACATTTTTTTGCACATATTTAAAAATGTTTTCTTTGGCATGTTTACTCCCATCATGTCCCTGCATACCCCTCCTGTAGTGATGCCTGTGAAAGATCACACTAAAAGTTAGTTTAATTTTTGTCACTTTTACTTAATAGAAGAATGTAGCCAAACACTACTTCACTTTAGTCCTTCTGAAACTGGATTTGGTGTGTATGGTCTCCCGTCGGACGGCTGTTGATGTGCCTTATTTAGCTTTGATTTGACCGAAAAGCATCGTGACCGTAAGATTGTGAAGATGGGGATCACTGTGTAGACACATGATGGACTTGAGCTGGAGCTGCTTCAAATACTACCAAACACTTCACCGTAACGGTACAGAAGGATTCAACTTAAACTGAACTACACCTAGAAAAAACTAATCCTGAAACAGAAGTCAGAAATGGTCTTGTCCGAAAGCTGGGTGGCATCATTTTCTGCTTCTGTAAACAAACATAACTAAAGACGTTTGTACAGTTTTATACACTAATAGTGAACATATATGGAGAAGACAAAATCCTGATCAGGATGCACTGATGTGTGTTATGTTGTGTTTATTCAGCCATGTTTATTGGATGTTAATGTAATCACATATTGGACCTAAATGCATCAGTTTTTGCACTAATATTACAGTAATTTGCTGTGTTTATTTTAGATAAAAAAGTGTATTTTAGCACATTGTTGGTTTGTGTGCTGCCTGTTTTATCTGTCGTCTAAATATGAATGTGATCTTTAATAATTACAGCCAGATATTCATGAAGTATATATAAAAAAACACCACAAATCTGTTTATTTAAGCTTTCTGGCATGTTCTTGTTTAACTTTGTGTGTTGAAGTAATGCTGCAGTAATAATATTCACAGGTACTTTAATCACTTTTAAAGTTGTTTGTGCAGTTTTAACAGCAGAGTTCACTATTGCATGTGTTTCCGTTCCTCACCAGACCCTCACGTTCATCTGTTTACATTTTGTACAGTTTTGGTGAATTTCTCACAAAACACTGTTTCAGTTGACAACAACTTCAATTGCTTCACAGAAAGCATTACTTTAAACCCAAACTAAGTTGAGTTTTAGGATGTGGTGTCTTAGGATTTTTTTTTTTTTTTTGCTTAAGTGCAACATTTTTGTTTTGAGCGCCATAACAGTGTGTGTGTGTGTGTGTGTGGTCTTCTACACGCTTTTATTTCACTAACCTTCCTGCTCAGACGCTCTCCTCTCTGAGACGGCGTCTGTCGTCATTGTGATTTATGAGTTTAATAAAAGCCTGTATCTGTGTGTGTGTAGCTCTGGGCCATACTGTCCCTTACAATCACTCCACACACTCACTTTTCACAGCCTCTCCCTCCCTCTGTGGCTGACGATAGCTGTGGATGTGACTGTGAATGCTTTAGGAGTGCCCTTGTCAGATTGGCGTCCTTGAACGAGGGCACACTTGTTACTGCCAGTTTGTTAATTTCAAACTCGCCTGGATGTCCCCTTAAGGGACGCACGAGCAAAATGAAATTACGGCTACACAGTTTCGATGCAGACACCGGCACCTTGTGTGTGTGTGTGTAAGATGCTGCACGTCTGCCCTAAACAAAGCTTGCAGATTTCCTCTAAAAAATAAACAGAGGAAAACTTTCAGAACTGAGCAGCTTCTTTTTGTGTGTTTTAAAAATCTCAGATGGAACATTTTGGAACATCCTGCATAAGATGACAAAACTTCACACATTAAGTGATCTCATCATATGCAGGATGTTCCTCTCTCTTCTACACGTATGCAATGATTTAGTTTAGTCTATTTAAACATATTTGAATGATCCTGAGGCTAAATATTAACTCATCATGGAGCAAATATTCATGTATGTCAAGTTTCTTCTGGCCTTTTGTTATTGTGACTTTTTAAAAGAACAAAAATGTAAATTTGTGCTTTTTTTGACATGTTGCTCTTGAAAACTGACATTTCAGTTGACAGTGGAGTAATGAAACATTAAACTGTTGCAATGTGTCCTGTGTGCTCTTGTTTTTAACCATTTTACTCCTAAATTAAATCAGCATTTAACTTATTTGTTATTTGTAAAATCCCACAAAATAATGATTTTAACACTTTAATATATCATCCAGAAAGTACATAATCAGTTTAACAATCACCTGTAAATAAGAACAAATTTCATACGATCATAAATAATACTGTAAGAGTATAAAAAGAAAGGGTTTGTCAAAACAGTAGAATTCAATAACGTAGGAAAAAATGCAACCCATCAATATTACATTTAAAGTCAATTAAATACTGTTTCTAGGCCCGATCTGTAAAATCTAAATACAATCAGAGTTTATTTTCTGCTAAAAAAAACTAAACATAATCTATCTCAATCCTTTATTCTTAACTGGACCTCATGGTTGTAACGACAAGCAGGTAAAAGTGTAAACCACTCAGTAAAAACGTCACCACAGCGAACAAACGTGACATTATCAACCGTTTCAGTAAACAGTGAATCCACAATAATGTGGTTAAGACAGCATTCAGGTTACATCACATACAGAAACAACACAGTAATAAATCCCAGCCACATATAAAGTATAAACAATTGGCATAATGATTGTAGGTAAAATACTATGAAGGCCATGTGTTGTTGCTGCTATTAACATTTTCTACAGGCACAGATACAGTTGATGAAGCGATGGGTGTGAAAATATTACTGGATTTGTTTGAAATTATTAGAAGTTAATAGATCGTCACTAAATGGTGAATTTACCAGAATAACTACGTGAAAAGCAGTTGGCAGGAAGAGCCAGCAGATGCTGATCCAACCCAAACATTCACAGAAACATTCATTATGGATGAACTACTTGTGTCATCACCACATACGGATGAATTCCAGCTAGGGTGTTAATATCTTATCAAACAATCACAAATCCCTGCAACTTAAGACGATCAGAAGCTCTAACGTGAGTCAAACACAACACAATGCTAATGCGCTCGTCTGCGTTACTGTCCTGATACCTGACCAGCGGAAGGACCTCGTCCTACAGATGAGTGTCGGTGAACATGGCGTGCTCTTTTTTGACAGAGCTTAAGGTCTTGATGGTGTCCACAAGTTCATCGTCCTCCAAATACTGGGAAAAAATAAAAAATAAATAAAACAGTGAAAAACTAAGATCTTGGGGGGAAAAGTACATATAGACAGACTTTTTAACACTTGACTTGTTGCACCTTGTCCTACAGTATATTAGGAATATCTGGGATCTGAATGAGTCCCAAACAAATGCACAAGTCGGCAAAAACTTGTAATGATGAAGGAAAACACATTTTTTGATGTTTGCCTTGGCTGGAGACCATAAACACTGTACTACCATAAGTATTGGAACACTCTTCTGAATTGTTGCTTTGAGGTGTTTTAATACAGATGAATGAGCGTGTTGGATGTGGCCTCAACTCGTTAAACACATTTAGGATGAATCAGAGCCAGGCCATCTTGTTCAAAACTAGTATCTGACCTCAAGGATACACGTCGCTAAAAATGGCCAATAATTCCTATAAAAACACTCCAAAACCTTTGGAAGGCAAAGGGTTCAAATGAAGGCAAATTGACTTCTTTGGTTTCTTGAAGACATTTCGCTTCTCATTCGAGGAGCTTTATCAATTCTGACTGGAATATGGGAAAGTCAGAGGCTAATGATTTATCAGGAGGTAGAGAGAAGGGGTACCCAGAGTAGTTTCGACTCGTTAAATAACGATAGTCAGCTACAGCTTATAAGCTTGACTCTCCCATATTCCAGTTAGAATTAACAAAGCTCCTTGGATGAGGAACAAAACATCTTCAAGAAACCAAAGACGTCCAGTTTCCTTCATTTGAACCCTTTTGGATTACCATAACCTGGATGACTGAGAGCCTACACCAGCATCTGTCTTGATTCTTACTTTTGAGTTCAGTTTAAAATAGTTTTATTTGTTGATAAGTCTTCATCTTCTGACCAGCTGGTCCTGGATGAGCCGACAACACCACAGGAACTTCTATGAAATTAAGGAACTCTTTGTTGGAACGCATTAGAAAGACTGTCTCGAAACTATTAAGTCCTTCTGTTTTCCTTTGACCTCCAACCTGTATTACATTTATTTTAATTGGATTGCCTTTACATTTTTAATAGTTTTTTATTTATTTATTTTTTTAACCTTACTGGGCCTAAATGCCACTTCATTTATCTCCTGTGCATTGACCAATGTCTTTTGTTTCAAATACTTTATAAAGTTGGCCAATGTGGGGGATCGTTTCATGTTTAAACACAGTATTCGCATTATTGAAAACATCTAGAAAATTAAATCAAACTAATGAAACGACTGCCTCAAATAATAAAAAAAAATTAAAGAGTATTTATTTTGTTCTCACCAGTCCAGAGTCATGTCCCATTGGGTTGTTCCAGCATCCTTCTTCCATCATCAGTGTCTTCCTGTCAATCAGCTGGCTGACGCTGCCATGCAGAGAATGCTGGGAGTAGGCCTGGTTGAGGTCTGTTGGACTGGGAGCTCGCAGGACAGACATGGGACCAAAGTGGGAGCTGCTGCTGTGGGAGCTGCTGCTAACAATCTTTGTGTCTGTCAGACCCTAAAAGGCACAGTTTCAGTCCCAAACTGATCACATGTTTAAAATATTCCATCCATCCATTTTCACTCGCTTATCCGGAGTCAGGTCGCGGGGACAGTAGCCTAAGGCGAGAGGCCCAGACTTCCCTCTCCCCAGCCACTTGGGCCAGCTCCTCCGGGGGAATCCCAAGGCGTTCCCTGGCCAGGTGAGAGTGATAGTTCCTCCACCGTGTCCTGGGTCTACCTTTAGGTCTCCTCCAAGTTGGACGAGCCCGGAAAATCTCACCAGGGAGGCGTCCAGGAAGCCTCCTGACCAGATGCCCGAGCCACCTCAACTGGCTCCTCTTGATGTGGAGGAGCAGCGGGTCTACTCCGAGCCCCTCCCTAATGACTGAGCTTCTCACCCTATCTCTAAGGGAGAGCCCAGCCACTCTTCGGAGAAAACTCATTTCGGTCGCTTGTATCTGCGATCTCGTTCTTTCGGTCACTACCCAAAGCTCATGACCATAGGTGAGGGTAGGAACGTAGATCGACCGGTAAATCAAGAGCTTCGCCTTCTGACTCAGCTCTCTCTTCACCACGACAGACCAGTACAACGCCTGCATCACTGCAGATGCAGCACCAATCCGCCAATCGATCTCATGCTCCAGTTTTCCCTCACTCGTGAACAAGACCCCGAGATAAACTCCTCCACTTGGGGCAGGACCTCATTCCTGACCCGGAGAAGGCATTCTACCCTTTTCCGAATCAAGACCATGGTCTCAGATTTAGAGGAGCTGATTCTCATCCCAGCTGCTTCACACTCAGCTGCAAACCGCTCCAGCGAAAGCTGAAGATCACATTCTGATGAAGCCAACAGGACCACATCATCTGCAAAAACCAGAGACCTGATCCTCAGGCCACCAAAATGGATGCCCTCCACACCTTGGCTGCACCTAGAAATCCTGTCCATAAAGGTTATGAACAGAATCGGTGACAAAGGGCAGCCTTGGCAGAGTCCAACTCTCACTGGGAATGAGCTCGACTTATTGCCGGCAATGCGGACCAAGCTCTGACACCGGTCATACAGGGACCTAACAGCTCGTATCAGAGGACCTGGTACTCCATACTCCCGGAGTACCCCCTGCAGGGCCCCCCGAGGGACGCGGTCAAACGCCTTCTCCAAATCCACAAAACACATGTAGACAGGTTGGGCAAATTCCCACGCACCCTCCAAGATCCCCCGAAGGGTATAGAGCTGGTCCAGTGTTCCACAGCCAGGACGAAAACCACATTGCTCCTCCTGAATCTGAGGTTCAACAATCCGATGGACCCTCCTCTCCAGAACCCCTGAATAGACCTTACCAGGAAGGCTCAGGTATGTGATCCCCCTGTAGTTGGAACACACCCTGCGGTCCCCCTTTTTAAGTAAGGGGACCACCACCCCGGTCTGCCAGTCCAGTGGGACTGCCCCCGATGTCCACGCGATATTGCAGAGCCGCGTCAGCCAACACAGCCCCACAACATCCAGAGCCTTAAGGAACTCCGGGCGGATCTCACCCCCGGAGCCTTGCCACAGAGGAGCTTTTTAACCACCTCAGTGACCTCAGCACCAGAGATTTGTGAGGCCAATCCAAAGTCCCCAGACTCTGCTTCCTCACTGGAAGACGTGTCGGTGGGATTGAGGAGGTCTTCGAAGTATTCTGCCCACCGATCCACAAAGTCCTGAGTAGAGGTCAGCAGCACACCATCCCCACTATCGATAGTGTTGGTAGTGCACTGCTTTCCCCCCCTGAGGTGCCGGATGGTGGACCAGAATCTCCTCGAAGCCGTACGGAAGTCTTGCTCCATGGTCTCACTGAACTACTCCCATGCGCGGGTTTTAGCCTTGGCGACCAACCGAGCTACGTTCCGCTTGGACTGCCAGTACCCATCAGCTCCCTCTGGAGTCCCACAGGCCAAAAAGACCTGATAGGGCTCTTTCTTCAGCTTGACAGCATCCCTAACCGCCGGTGTCCACCAGCAGGTTTGGGGGTTGCCACCACGACAAGCACCGATGATTCTGCAACCACAGCTCCGGTCAGCCGCCTCAACAATGGAGGCACGGAACAGGGCCCATTCAGACTCAATGTCCCCCGCCTCCCCCGGAGCATTTTGGGAGTTCAGTTGGAGGTGGGAATTGAAGCTCCTTCTGACAGGAGACTCTGCCAGGCATTCCCAGCAGACCATCGCAATACGTTTGGGCCTGCCTGGTCTGACGGCATCCTCCCCCACCATCTGAGCCAACTCACCACCAGGTAGTGGTCAGTTGACAGCGCCGCCCCTCTCTTCACCCAAGTGTCCAAGACATGTGGCCGCAGGTCAGATGAAACAACAACAAAGTCAATCATCGAGCTGCGGCCTAAGGTGCCCTGGCGCCAAGAGCACATATGGACACCTTTATGTCTGAACATGGTGTTCATTATGGACAATCCATGACTGGCACAGAAGTCCAATAACAAAACACCACTCGAATTCAGATCAGGGGGGCCGTTCCTCCCAACCACACCTCTTCAGTTCTCACTGTCGTTGCCCACGTGAGCGTTAACGACCCCAGCAGAACAAGGGAGTCACCAGAAGGAGCTCTTTCCAGCACCCCCTCCAAGGTCTCCAAAAAGGGTGGGTAGTCTGAACTGTAGTTTGGTGCATAAGCACAGACCACAGTTAGAACCCGTCCCCCCACACGTAGGCGGAGGTAGGCTACCCTCTCATTCACTGGGGTAAGCCCCAACATACAGGCACCAAGATGGGGGGCAACTAGTATGCCCACCCCTGCTTGGCGCCTCTCAGTGGGAGCAACTCCAGAGTGGCAGAAAGTCCACCCCCTCTCAAGGAAACTGGTTCCAGAGCCAGAGCTAAGCGTTGAGGTGAGTTTGACTATATCTAGTCGGAACCTCTCAACCTCACACACCAACTCAGGCTCCTTCCCCACCAGAGAGGTGACATTCCATGTGCCAAGAGCCAGCTTCTGTAGCCGAGGATCAGACCGCCAAGGTCCCCGCCCTCGACCACCACCCACCCCTTTGGCCCCTCCCACGAGTGGTGAGCCCATGGGAAGGGGGACCCACGTTTCCTCTTCAGCTTGTGCCCGGCCGGCCGGCCGGACTCCATGGGTGAAAGCCCGGCCACCAGGTGCTCGCCAACGTGCCCCACCTCCAGTCCTGGCTCCAGAGGGGGGCGCCGGTGACCCACGTCCGGGTGAGGGAACATGGTTTCCATTTATATAATTCATCATAAGAGGTCTTCGGGCTGCTCTTTGTCTGATCCCTCACCTAGGACCTCTTTGCCATGGGTGACCCTACCAGAGGCAGAAAGCCTCAGACAACTTGGCTCCTAGGATCACTGAGACACTCAAACCCCTCCACCACGGTAAGGTTGCAGCCCAGGGAGAGATGTTTAAAATATTTTTTATAAAACTATTTCAATCCCTGATAAGTGTTCCAACCTACTACCTAAACTAAACCCGTCAGTCTTAATAAATAAAAAATATATCAAAGGGGGAACAAGGTTCATAAAAAAACCAGCAGAGGTCCCTGCTCTGCGAGAAACAACCCAAGTTATGAGTAAACTTACCAACAATTTTTATTAAGTGTAAAGTATGAATTCAAGCTGTTAACAGACAGTTTAACATATGTTTTCGTCACTGCCCACAACAACCCAACTACTGTTTAAAAAGGTATAAGGTATAAACATGCACGAACCAAGCATGCAGACACAAGAGGACATGCAGAAGGTGGACAACCCACACAAATCCACAATCCCATACCTCTGAGTACATAGTGTAGCTTTTAAGTATAACGTTGCTGATCTCAACACAGTCTGCGACAGTGTCAAACTGCAAGGAGGACAATAAGATAAACATTTAAGGGTTTTACAGCAAAAAAGGCAGAGAATAATCTTACTGTGGGGCGATCAAGAAGGAGCATAGAGCTGGAGAGGTGTTTAGAGCACAGCTCAGGACAGGGTCTCTGAGAGAGGGACAGAGGGATGGAGTGGACAGACAGAGCAGTGGAGGAAGAGGTCGAATCAGAAAGATAGGTGAACACAAATAAACGAGCAGCAGATGGTGGAAAATTTTCAAATAAAAAGCACAATTAATGCTGCAGATTTCAGCTATTTACAATTTAATGATTAAATAATGGGATTTAAAACATAAAAGTACCGCGTTTTTTTTCCTTTCCTCCTTCTGTTTTTCTCTGCCCCTCACCGTGTAGGTCTCTCCTCCAGACTTTCTGCTCTTCTGAAGCATGACCAGAGGAGGGCGCTCTCTAGCTGATGGATTTTTCCTCAAGGTTCTGAAAAGGAGAAAAAAGTGCACCCCTTTCTTTGTAAATATCAAGGTGGTGCCTTTAATTTCAGCAGGTGAGCCGGAGCACATGACAGCTCAGATCTAAATACCTTCGTAGCACCAAGCCCACCAGTAGAGCAAGTAGGAACAAACCCAGCAAGGC